TTAATAGAGACTTATTTTACATTGGTGAACTATAGACTTCGTATTGTTCATCCATGTTCTAGTTTGAGGCATTTCAATTATTTTAATTGAAACAGATCACAGTTTCATACAGCAAGCATAGGAGACATAATCATTTCCGATATTTCAATTTTAGTTTTGTAATGTTTTAAAATTGAAGTATAATCAATGCTTTTATGAGCTTCTATAGGCTATGAATGCTTCCTTAGAACAATTTATGCACCATATCTTCTAGGTTTCAGGCATATTCAATTTATAGGTTTCCACACATCATTTTACAGAAATGATTTAAAAATTCAATTTATTTGCAATAAGGGAAAATAGCGTTTTACTGAGTCTATGGTTAAATGTTTAAAAAAGTTAAAGGCAGTGATATTTTTATTTTGCTGAAAGCCAGTAAAATCTTATTGATATAAACCATTTATCATCTCTTGACAGAAATCCAAAGTCATTATTATGCGATAAAAACGACTTGCAAAAGCACAATGTTTTGCATTATTGGCAAAAAAAAAATTATTGCTGTCATAAAATGCTGATTCGTAATTGCAGGCTCATTGTAAAAATGGGCAGGGTAATCCATAAAATATAGCACGCCATGTAACACTACTGAGATCATGATTTCTTTATCTTATTTTTTCCCCTAATCCAGCCCTTTCCAACATGGAATTTTGTGAATTGGCACTCTAACTCTGAGAATTCCCAGCTTGCATTTTACTCACAAATTAATTGGAAACTAGAGCAGATTGCTCTGTTTCTCAACCTTAGCAATTTTAAGATGAGTGGACTTCAGTTCCCAGAATTCCCCTGCCAACATGGGTATCCAACCTTTACTGAGTTCAGGAATGCCATTTAATGCATCTAACAAAGAAGAGATCATCTATCTTTTTTTTTAGTAGCTGGTTCTGTTGTCAAACTTCTGCTTCCATTAAGAAATTAATATCTGCTTTGTCACAAATCTGCTTTGTGATGACCTTTTTCATTACAGTTGTCTTGCACTAGCTCTTTGTCATGTCTTCTAGAGCAGGGGTGTCAAACTCGCATCGTCACATGATGTATTGCAACTTTTTCCCCCTTCACTAAACCTGGCATGGGCATGGCCAGCGCGTGATGCATCCGGTCCATGGACCGCAAATTTGACACCCCTTTTCTAGAATCTTCCAACTACCATGATACCATGGTAATAATAATGCAAGAAGGCCTTATGTCATTTTAACTGTGGCCTGGTGTTATTATAAAGCTGTTATAAGAGCAGAAATGGCTCTAATATAATTATAAAAATAATATATATAATTATTCGGAATGTAGTTTCGATAAACATTTAAATGTTTGGTTGCAAATCTTAGTCAAGTTTTCTAGTTTCACAGATGAAAAGATCTAAAAATATTAAAGTGAACTTTGCTAGATTTCACCTGCTGATTGGTTGAAAAATAAGTTCACTAAAAAGTACAATTTTGTTCAGGTTGCAGATGCAAAATGAAGTATCAGTCTAGTCTATGCTGAATCACTGCTTATTTGAGGATAACGATTGGGTTAGGTTTCTTAGGAGACATTCTATGTTCCATGTTTGTAGAAGGAAAGTCTGGTATAACGGTGCCAAAATTAATAAGAGGAAAGTGCTAAGATTCATACCAGTGGGTAAAATAGTTTCCTTACTGTTTGCTCAGACTATACTGAATGAAATCCTGTCTGATTTGGCAGTGATCTGTAATCTTAGCTGAACCCATGAGGTTTATGCAGAAGCTGTTCACGTTCTGTAGATGACAAGGAGACCCTGTGGAAAAAGAAGAGTACAGAATAACCAAGTTATTCTGCACTGTTCGAAGATGTGCTGATGCTCAAAGTTTAAAGAGAACATCTTGTTCCATGTTCTGCTCTGACACAGAATGTCCTTTCCAGTTTCCCCAATCTCATTGCCTCCAGATGTGTTGGGACTGTAATTCCCCAAACTCTCAGCTAACCTTTGGCTATATTAATTGAGAAATCTGAGATTTGTAGCGCCCACACATGTTTCGTCCAAACATTTTGATCTGGGATACAGATGTGCCATTAAAAAGCCTCAAGGCCACAATACGCATCCAGCTATTTCACAATCTAATGCTTGCATAATAACTTTTACTTTATATTCTAGGAATAATATAAAGCTAGGTTTTAGCAGAGAAACATTGTGGTAAGGCTTATATTTTAATACAGAAGATTCTTAAAGTGAATATAAAAATTAAATCAGAGACTTTTAGATTTAATGGACAAAGAACTTGAAAAATAAAATCTGGAACCTTGTTGTTACATATGTTGACAGCCGCAAGGATGGAAAGATACTTTAATTCACACATTGAATGAATGGCTGGAAAAAGTGGCAGAACTAACAGATATGACTAAATTAAGTGCTCTAATATAAAAAAGAACACATCCAACTTTGTTTCTACTTGGAAACCACTTCTGGTTTTTGTGCTTGAGATGGGGGAAAAAATGAACCTTTGACTTTTGGTTTTGCTGATAAATTTTGCTGATAGAAATGGCTAATCCATATTGAGTATGTAAAAGTAAAAAGTCAAGGCTGTAATTTTGTTTTTGCTTTTTTATTGTGCTAAGAAAGACTCGAAAGTCAATGCTTTTCTATCTTTTTTCCTCTTTGCCCTACCATTCTTTCTCGCCCCTTCCCTCCCCTATATCCCCACTACTTTCATTTTCATTTGTACTTTATATTATGATAAGCTTAATAAAAAAAATTTTTTTTAAAAAAATATAAAGCTAGGTTTTGATTATAAATTACTAAATGATTTTCTCTTCTGTCAGTTTTCAGAAGCATTTCTCCGCTGGTAGAGCACACTTGACTTTTATTGTTATTGTTTTAAGGTTATAGTATGACCATAATAAGATTCATACTTAAAATTCTATTATAGAATTCTTACTCAGAAATAAAGTTGCCTGGGCTCTAGATGTTGTTTCAAACTGACTTCCCAGGCATAGTTACGATAGTAAAACTAAAGTCACATAAAAATGTTAACCTATCCATGAAAAACAAAAGTAAAGACAAAAAAACCCTAAATAGATGTTGTGATTTTTGGCATTATTGATGCTAATTGATTCCAAGACATTGGGGTGGGGCAGAGGAATAAATTAGGGATATGGAGTTACAGTGCTTAAAATACAATCATTAAGGAGTTCTGTCTCTTTAAGAATGATTCAGCTAAACAGGAAAGAAAAAGAACAGCTCAGAAAGGGATTCTGGACTCGGATGGAATTTCTGCAAGCCAAGGGGTTCTAAAAACATACAGAGTCCACTCCTATCTTGAGCAATACTACAATCTCCCCAGGCAGACCGTTTGAGCAATTGGCAGAGGATAAGAACTGGATTTGGGTTCCAAACCAACAAGATTTGGGGTGCTGGAGGAGCAGAACATGAGAGTTGGAAAACCTCTGTTCAGTTTTGTCTTCATTAATAAAGCTCCTTAGGTTATCTAGAAGAGCCATATTTTCTCTTTGCACCCTTCAACATGGGCATAAAAATATTGGCCTACCATCCAGCATAGCTGTAAAAGTTAATGAGGACTGTACTTATAGTAATATTTATTTAGGTTTGTTGCACAGTCGGGGAGATGTTTAGACTGGATTTGACATTTTTACCCACTGTTGGGTCCTTCTCAAGGACTGGGATAGGCAGATGTTATTTGATGGTTTGCAAGATTTTAGCTGTTCCAAGTAAAGCTGCCTTGTGCAGTTGACTGATGGAGATTTTGTCAATGCCGATGGTGTTCAAGTGGTGCTCCAGATGTTTTGGGATGGCACGCAAAGTGCATATTATTATTGCTACCACCTTTGCTTTCTTTTGCCACAGTCATTCTATTTCTATTTGCAGCTCTTTGTATTTTGTGATTTTATCCAGGTTTTTTTTCCTCCTGTTCTATGCTGATGTCTCCATGTTCTGCAACATCCTCTATCCAGACTTTTTTGTCTTTGTTATTGAGAGTTGTTAAGTCTTGCATGTTATTATTTAGTAAGGCTTTTGACAGTATAATCCTGTGCAAAATTATATCGATATCAGTTCAACTATATCCAGTGTGGTTTACTATCCTATAAGAAAAACAACCATCTAAATGTTCTATCCAAGTGTTTTAAAAGCTTGAAGTCAAAGTGAAAATACAATAAGGACAGGAGTCCCTAATTCTTGATCTGCGGAATGGTACCAGTCCATGGCTTGGAACTAGGCCACACAAGTGGCGGGCAAGTGTGCAAAGCTTCATTTGCGCATGCATAGGATCTAGACTGCGTATCTAGATCGCTACCCCCCCCATTGCCACTGCTGCCATCGGTCCATGGAGCCAGATAGGTTGGGGACCACTGCAATAAGGATGAGAAACTTTCCTGTCTCTACCAGCTACTTTTGGCTTTTTTTAAAAAAAGAAATTTCCTTCCATCACTACATATTTTGACCAATTTCTCCGATAGGAGAAGCCTGATGGCGATGGCCAGGACTGACTTTGGTTCCATAACTTTTTGTACCCTTTCCATCCCACCTTCTCCATTCCCTTTTTTCCCAGAATGTTGAAAATTCATCCGATTCCTGCAACCTGTTCAATGTTCTTATTTCTACCTAAAATGCTCCCCCTGATTGTTGACATTGCAGGCATGGGGGGAACTGTAAACTACGTTAAGCTAATGGGCCAAGTTGTGATAGGAACTTCTGAGTGTTCTGTGTAATGATTTGTTCCTCCAAGGCATCCTCTGATCCTTTATTACTAACTCAGGGCAAGTGAAATTCTTACCCTAAAGAAAAGTTTCCTTAGTCAAACACTTCTGAAGACCAAGACATGAGGAACACGCAGGTGCATATATACATATTAGCATAAAGGCATATGTTTCTGTGAGGTTTGAATAATGTATTTTGCCTGGGGTGCTGCTTTGTATCACGTTCATACTGGAGCTTGCTCTTTTATTTTGCTACTAAACCAACAAATGTTTTTTTATGTTATTTATATACTCAGATCCTCCAAAGGTCTACCAATGTAGTGTACCAAGCCCATCATGTTAGCAGAAACAAGAGAGGACAAGTTTTGGGCACAAAAGGTGGATTTCGTGGCTGCACAGTCTGGCTAACAGGTATTGTGTTCTCTCCTAACCCAGGAAATTAATATCTGGGGAAGGCTCTTATTGTTTCTATTGCAGTAGGAAAAAAAAATAAGGCTGCCAAATAGACTTGCAGAAATCCAGATTACTGCTAGAGGGTAGTGAAAGAATTTTCTGGACCTGTTGGCTGCCACCTAATGGTTTTGTCTAATTTTTGGCTGCCCAGATGTAGAAGTTATAATAAGATACAGAGTTCATAAATGCATAACCTGGTAACTCTGTGGAATATATTGACAAATTAACATAAGGTGGATTATGTGCCGTATTAATGTAAAGTGGATTAATTTATGTAATAAATTAATAAAATTTATTTATTAATAAAATTAATAAATTTTATTAATTGTTCAGTTCTGCAAAGGACATGCTTAACATCTTTTAAAATATGAAATTCTATGATTTGCATTTGTCCTTTCAGGAGGTATAAATATTTTGAAAGCTTTAATAGGTCTAGTGTATGTGTCATTTATTTATTTTACCAAAATGTAAAGCTATAAAGAGATCTTAGAAAAGTGTTTAATAAAACTGAAGGACCAAAAGCATGTGTATGCTCCTTTGTTTTTTATTAGTTAGATAACCTGGCTGCAAAGTATAAAAAAAAGATTAATAAATTCTTCGTATTTTGAAATTTTATTTTATTTTATTTTATTTACTTGTGAATTTAGGAAAAGCAGGGGTGAACCATCACAGTTTTTTTTTTTTAATTTTTACCTATGATTAACAGGTCTTTCTGGAGCTGGTAAGACAACCATTGGGTTTGCCCTTGAGGAATACCTCATGTCTCATGGCATCCCTTGTTACTCTCTTGACGGGGACAACATTCGTCATGGTCTCAACAAGAATCTAGGTTTCTCTGCTGATGACCGAGAAGAAAATATCCGCCGTGTTGCTGAAGTAGCCAAACTATTTGCAGATGCTGGCTTAGTTTGCATTACTAGTTTCATTTCTCCTTTTGCAAAGGTAAATCTGTCTGGAGAATTATTCTGTCCTTTAAAAAAAAAACTTTTTCCATTTGTTATGGGACGCACATTTAAGAGAACCATCTTCTTGTGAAAATTTTTCTTTGGGAATGTAACATCCTTATGTGTGCTTCTTTCTATTTATCGTCAAATCAACCTTTCACCAGTAGGAAACTCTCCCGAAACCCTGGACTTCATCTGTTTCATTTAGCTTGACATTAGTCAATCAATCAAAATTTTGCTTGTGGGAATTTGATGCCATTTCAGTCTTTCTTTCTCCCTGGCTCATTTTTAAAAAGCATCAGTAGAATTGGAATGTGTGTGTGAAAAGAAGACTCTAGGCCTTGTAACCCAACCCTTTATATATTTGGCCAATAGATATGGGTAAAACTCGGTATATGTTTGAGAGACAAAGACAGAAACAGAAAAAACAGAACACTTTGATCATCCTGTTACATACTTCTGTATTTGTGTAGATATTTTCATATTTACACAATAGATTTAAGAAGAAGAAGAATAGTAAGATGCCTGAGTGATGCGGTAGCCTCAAGAGGCTGTGAGTTCGATCCTAGGTAGAGGCAGATATTTCTCTCTCTGGGCACATTGAGAACATACCTGCTGAACAAAACTCTGCATTGGCGACTGGAAGGGCATCTGGCCATTAAACACTCTGCTAGCTCTATTCAGTTACCCAGACTCCACCCTGCAAGGGATTATTGGGTTGTTAAAAGATGATGATGAAGAATAGTAAGATACCTACATTACTGATTGTTACTTTGTTCCTTTTACAGGACCGTGAGAACGCACGGAAGATTCATGAGACAGCTGGGCTGCCTTTCTTCGAAGTTTTTGTGGATGCACCTCTCAATATCTGTGAAAGTAGGGACGTGAAAGGCCTATACAAAAAAGCAAGAGCTGGAGAAATCAAAGGTTTGATCATCTCATTCCGGCTACAATATGTACTATCTATGTAATCACCCTTCTTTTACACCCCTGCTCCTAAATACAAGCTTTATCTGCAAATGTTCTAGTGCATCAAAACTCTGTGAACTCTTGTATTGGTCATGTCATTTGACTTGAAGGGCAGGATTGGGTAATGGCTGCGTAACTGAACAAGTTGGTGGTTCAGGTGAGAAGGGAGGCTCCAACAGGTAGCTGTAAATCCATATTAGCTAGAGAAAAAATGTTATTAGGAAGTACCTGATGAGATTTTGAAAGCTGTTGATGCAGAAGACAGAAAAGCCATTGTTCTTATGGGTGTCATGTTTGATCTTTGATTTGAGGTTCGAACATAACCTTATTGTTTTACACCAGTGAATATCCAACTCTTTTCTAGGATTCACTGGAATCGATTCGGAGTATGAGAAACCAGAAATACCCGAACTTGTGCTGAAAACCAACATTTTTTCAGTGACTGAATGCATCCAGACTATTGTGGAGCTCCTGCAAGAACAGGTATCATGTGCTGGTTTGCAATAGCAAACCCTAATCTACAAAAAAAAAAAAAGCATTTTTCCAGGTCTGTGCTTAACCAATCCATGTTTCACAAGGGGACTTTATCGCTTACCTGTTTCTTCCTCTACTAGAATCTCGTTCCTTCCACTGCAATTAAAGATGTGCTTGAGCTGTTTGTGCCTGAAAATAAAGTGGAACAAACTTGGGCTAAAGCTGGTACTCTGCCATCTATAAACATTACCAAGGTAAGAAATAAGGAACGCTGCGATTCTGATATAGGAAAACCCTCCGCTTAACTATCTGAACAGCAATAAAAAAAACCCTTGTCCTGTGTGTTCTTAGATTTAAGCAAACTAATTTCCCATATTTGCCATCTTCAAAGTACTAAGGATGAGCAGAGTAAGGGAAATATAATTTCTTATTGGCCTTTTCTAGTGGGAAGCAGATTTCTGCTTCAAATTTCAATTTTTTAAAAACCTTTTTTCATTTAAAAAATCCAGTTAAAAAGGGGTGAATGATGGAAGGAAGAGCTAAGGGCTGTTTTTTTTGGTGTCAAAGCAATGTAATATGAGCGTACCAGGCATTCTTAGAAGAAGAAAAACATACAAGGTTTCTTTCCCTTTGCACATCTTAAGAGTGAAAAATGTGTGTGTGTGTTTTAAGAGAAACATACATATACACATATTCAGTATATTTAAGAGAATGCTATTCTTTGGTCCTGCTGGCCTTCAAGTCACTATGGATCTCCTGGAAATAAAATGCCAAGGTTTTGCAGAATTCTGTTATATTCTTTGTCAGGCTCTTGAAAGCTGCCTCAAACAAAAAGAATGAAACCTCCTAAACAAGATGCTCACTGTGTTCAGTGAGATAAAAAGGAGAATAATATTTATTTATTTATATCCCGTCTTTATTATGTTTATAAATTACTGGAGGTGGCAAACATATATAAGGCTTCTTCCGCCTCTTTTCCTCACAACAGCAACGCTGTGAGGTGGATTGGGCTGAGGGAGAGAGAGAATGATCCGAGGTTACTCAGGTAGCTTTCATGACTAAGACAGGAATAGAACTCACAGTTTCCTAGTTTCTAGATCAGCCCCTAATAAGGATTTCAGCAACTGAACTAATAGTGCCCCGAAACATTAGGACTGAGTCTTCAAATATTTTCTTATAAATAAGGAATAATTTTCAGAAGTGGTAGGTATATTATATCCATTGGAAAAAAATATGTTTTTATTTTATCTAAGTGATCCTAATTGGGATCATTCTGATAGCTAATGAGAAAATTATTTTCAAAGTGTGGTATTGAAATGTTGAAAATGGCACTCCTGAAAAGTAAGAACAATAAACTAGTGGAACAGCTTGTCCATCACAAGCCGTTGTGGATGCTCCATCACTGGGGAGTTTCAAGAAGAGATTGGACAGCCATTTGTCCAGAATGGGATAGAGTTCCCTGCCTGAGCAGGGGGTTGGACTAGAGGACCTCCAAGGCCCCTTCCAACTCTGTTATTCTGTTAACTCCTTATTTTCATGTGCATACGTCATATGCTCTACTGTCTTTATTTTCCAGTTGGATCTACAGTGGGTTCAAGTCCTAAGTGAAGGTTGGGCCACACCACTCAAAGGGTTTATGCGGGAGAAAGAATATTTGCAAGTTATCCATTTTGGCACTTTGCTTGATGGTATGATATCCTAATTCGTATGCATTATCCTTAGGCATTCTTTTTGGAAAAATTATTTGAAAGAACCAAATTCTCATTAAGAATATTCTTTGATTAGTGTGTAATGAAATTAATACCTTTTTTTTTCCTTTTGAGGCCAGTAATTATAATAAACTAGAAAAATATGCTGATCATAGACAGGTAAATTGCCAGATCAGATCAAGTCAAATCCTAGATCGTGTGCACGCCCAAGTCAATAAATCTTGGATTCACTCTGGTCCTAAAGGCCACAGAGTAATTTTATTGGCTTCAGGGCTTTCTAGATTCAAATTGCTCCTTTTTCGTGAATCCCCTTGAATTATCTTGGACGGTTTAGTGTGTATAATCAACAGCTGTCAGAAACTAATAAAGCAATAAAAATAGTTTTAAAGACAGCACTGAAAACAGTTTAATAGATATGTGAAATATTTCACTGAACAAGCACATTGCTGGAGCTTTGTTTCCCAGTATCATGTTTCTCCTGTCTACCATAAGTGAAAATGGAATGATATGCAAATACCGTATAAGGACCAGACACTTCTTATTTATACCACCTTTAATTCTGGTGGTATTGGCATCTACTTTAAGTAAGATCTTAAAGTTCTTGACTACATTCTAGTTTGCTAGGATGTAGGTAAGATCCAGTTTTACTAAGCTGGGAAGATGCACACTGTTTCAACTTTACTTTTTACAATGGTCTTTATGGAAATCAAATGGAAAATCCCAGAGTCTTCACTCAAATGTAGCTCCTTGCAGTCCATATTCTCATCTTCATCAAAGGACTGCTTCAATTGGTCACATGCATGATACCACATTGATATGTTGGCTACTTGCATCTACACATGGACCCATCTACCCGTGGATCCATATTTGTAGACTGGTCCTCATCATACAATCATGAAAACCATGTTTAGAGTTTAAGTGTCATCTTGGTATTTTGGATACCAATTGAGAAGGAAAGCAATTAAAATATGGTTGTTAATTATCTTTATATTTTGCCAGGAATGGGTAAAATTGATATATTCAAGCTTGGTATGTATTCAGTTGTTTTTGCTATGTTATGAAAATAATTCGAAAAAGTTAATTGACAGATTTGTTGGAATGAAATTTTGAAATAGAAGTCCAGAATCATAATAAGTATATTCATGATCCAACCAGTTACATTGTGCTTTTCCAACATTTTAATTGACTTGGAAAGGGTAACTCTTAATTTGCATTCTCTTTCTCTTTCTTCTCCTGCTTCTTGCCTTCTTCTTCGATAATTAGGTTACACACAACTTACCAACCACTGACCCAAGGCAGTTTACCAGTCATAGCCTGAAGTCTATTATCTTGTAATCATCACCATTTTCTTTCTAGAATTTTACATCCTAACACACTGTTCCCCATTGTGATATTCTAGGGGAGCAGAAATTTAGTTGTTAGGAGAGGGTTTATAGAGAGATTGCAAAAATGGGAAGTCTCAAAAAGTTTCCATAGCTGACTCGGAAGGATGTAATAGGCTTGAGGGTTACACATTTGGAAGACTTTCTGTATGTCACATCTGACATTAGTAAGATGACTTAGTAAATTAGCAATTACAAATATATTAATCATCTTTTCAAACCCGATTTTATGGAAATGAATACACGACAACACAGTCTTTGTGAATTTCTCTCCAAAATTTGTTTGTAAAAAAAAAACATTTATAAGAGTATGCCGTTGGAAGAGTTAAACAAAGAAAAGTACATCTGGTTGAATCATAGTATAAATATAACCACTTCTGAGAAGTTTCTAATTGTGCATGGATACAGTATGATCTGTAGATTGGGTAGATATGAAATTTAACCCAAGGATCACAGAGCCTTTGTTGTGGCTTGGATTCAAAGGTGTCCATCATGAAGCCAGAAAGTCGCTTCTCTTCATGGAATTTTTCCATTAGACTTTAGAAACAAACAAACAAAAAGTAAACCATCATCCAGGGACATTTTTTTCCATTTATGGTTCTTTGTTCTGGGTGAAATTATTTTAATATCCCTTGCACATGTGCAGAGCAAGCCCATTTTACAAAAGATTCAAGCTGTATCTAAATTAACATTTGCATTCTATTAGAATGTAAAGGTTCCTGGCAGCAAATGCTTGCAGCTAACTACTTTCAGAAGCCCCAATTTACATTTCAAAGGTCACAACAATATTTTTTTTTCTTTTGCACTGTATAGAGCAATATTTTCAGTCACTATGCACATTTGAATGACCCATTGTAATAGTGTGGAGGTCTTCCCTATTTTAAAAAAACATCCCACATGTAGAAAGATCATGATACTTCAAGACATCATGAGAGAAGACCTGTCTCACATGATCCTACGGAAGTGGTCTTTTTAAAAAATTGAATTGGTGGATAGTGCTCTATGGATGCCATCTAGTGGCATCAGAGAGCTCTGGTTTCACATTGCCAGCTCCTGTCTGAAGCTGAGATTGAAAAGCTGCAAGGAAGGTTTGAATGTCCTCAACAATGGAGCCCAAATGTCTTGCTAAGCGAGACATTTCTTAAGTGAATTTTGCCCCATTTTATGACCTTTCTTGCCACAGTTGTTACATGAATCACTGCAGTCGTTAAATTAGTAACACGGTTGTTAAATGAATCTGGCTTGACTTTGCTTGTCAGAAGGTCGCAAAATGAGATCACGTGACTCCGGGACACTGCAACCGTCCTAAAGATGAGTCAGTTGTCAAAACATCTGAATTTTGATCACGTGACCAAGATAACAGCAGTCATAAGGGTGAAAAACAGTCACGTCACTTTTTTCAGTGTTGTTGTAACTTTGAACGGTCACTAAGTGAATACAGGGAGTTAGGGACTACTTGTATTTTTTTTCCCATTCCAGTTATTTTGGAGCATGTTTTTTTCCATATGGAAATGTATATGCCCCCCACAGGCATGACATAAATGAAAAATTATTTTGCCCACAACGATGCAGCTTTAATCTTCAATGCTTGCTTTGTCACATGTAACATGTAACCCTAAGCTTGGGAGGACAACATGACGAGGTAAAAGGAATTCACGTGCATATCTTTGGATCCAACCCATGCTCAGGATAATCAGAATTATTTCACAGAAAGTTAGAATAGTGAGAATGGTCACAGCATCCAATAACTTTGAAATCAAACTCAATGGCTAAACAAACTTCATTTCTAATTCGTTAAGTGATTCTATTTCATGAACTGAGAACTTGAAATGCAATGTATTATATTTGTAATTCAGAGGGCCTTTCCCCCTACCCCTACCTCCTTTAAATAGCATTCATGTAATGGCAAAGTTCTTGATTATAAGCAAAACTGAAGCTGAACATGTTATTTGGACTTCAAAAAAGGGTATTTCAACAGACCCAGATGTGGGGATGCCCTAGATATAATTTCAACAAAGCATTTGAAAGGTGTATAATTAGCCAGCTACTTAAGCATGGGCTGGTTGACATAACAATTAAATGGATTCAAAAGCCCTCATCGATGACTCTTTGTCAAACAGAAGATGATGATTAGTCAATAGTGTACTGAGGCTGCAAAAAAGGTATATGTGGTTTTAAGCTGCAGTTTATTTTATTTATTTATTTATGAAATTCATTTGCTGCTCATCCAGCAACCCTGGGCAACTTACAGCATAGGTGCGAGTTCATTTATTATTTATTGGCCATTGAGTAATTTGTCTAGTAAGAGTATTTTATTTTATTTTTTCTCAGCCTCTTTTGCTGCTCTTACTTATAGACTCTGAGCAGCTTACAAAAATGTCCATTTATCATTAATAAATATATTATTAATAATATTAATTGTTATTAAGATTAAAAAAAATAAATGAAAAACAGCAATATTGCAATGGCAGTAATTCTTTCTTTTCCTCTGGACAGTTTTAAAAGGATTCATACAAATTGTAAAAGTTCAAAGAAGGGCAACAAAGACGTTGCGGGTGATCCAATGGGAGGTTTTTAAAAATAGGTTGGACAAACCATTTGTACGAAATGTTATAGGGTTTCCTGTTTGAGCAGGGGGTTAGACTAGAAGACCTCCAAGGTCCCTTCCATCTCCGTTATTCTGTTAATCTGGGAACTGGAAAGCAAATTCGGTAAAGATAGATTGAAGCACATGAGAAAGTTTTACCTTAAGAAGTAAGTGTTCCCTATAAATATTTACGAAAGAAAAAGCTCAGCACCATTCTCTGTTCTTCTAGAGCTCGGGAGTCAAAAATGGGATTTAAATTATGGGGAGGCAGTCTCTAACTAAATGTTGGGAAGTTTCTAATTGTTAAGAGCATTTGATGGTAGAATCAGTTACTCAATGAAATAGCAAGATTCCCTTCATTGCATGCATCCAGGCAAAGACTAGATAAGTCTCTGGCTGGGATGCTTTTATCTGGATTCCTACACCAAGCAAGGAGCTGAAGTGAATGACTTAAAATAAAGAAGAACATTTGAAGAACCAAACAAAAAGGGGGAAAAGCCATTGCTGAGGTTCTGATGCAAACAAAAAGACAGGACAAGCCACAAAGGACAAGAAGTGATGTCAAGACACTATTGCACAGCTATTATTGCACAGTTGTGTTAGTAATTTATGTCTGATGAGGAGTAATCTGTTGTGTTCTGGAAGAAATGGGCTTGGGAAACCCTAAGCCTAAAAAGGTTTTGTGCCATATAGTATTAAATGAGAAGCATGGAAACGGTGGAGAAAGTAGCAATGAACACTAGGACTCTGATATCAAAATGAGTGTCATCTTAGAGCTCTAAGTAGGAACTGTGGAAATGCTTTTTGCCTTCTCTTTAGAACTGAGTGAGCATTCCTGTACATTTTTGGTTTTGTCCATTTTGTTAGATTTTATATTGTAGGCTACCCTAGGGAAGTTCATGAATTGGACTGTAGGATGTTAATTGTTTGATTCAGACAGTGATTTAGGGGGGAAAAATACTATATTGAGAACTGACCTTTATAGCCAACTAAAATTGGGGAAATGATTCAACAGAAGTCTGTTCAAAAAGGAGAAGAAAGAACAATTCCTAGTATTAAAAACAGAGTCAGTATTAAAGCAGGTCAGAAAGAACACAAATATAACATATAAAATTAAATGCGAGAGGCCAACTATTAAAACCAAATCTAAATGATGTGATTGCTCTTCAGTCTGAATGCTGAACTATGCTACTAAACTAAGAATATTATAGGCAGTTTGTAACTGTTGTGTTAGAAAATAAGGAGATAAGCACAAAAATCAAGTGTTTAGCTGTTCAGAAAGCCTACTGTTGAGAATCTCCTTCTTTTCTAGGGATTTCAAATCAAACACAGCCAAGTTCCCCCCATTTTTAAAATTAAATTTAAATTAATTGATTGAATTTAATGTTTCTTTCACACAGATGGTGTTATTAACCTGAGCATACCGATTGTACTTCCCATCTCTACTGAAGACAAAAAACGTCTGGAAGGATGCAGTGCATTCACCCTGCAGTACAATGGACGGAGGGTTGCAATCCTTAAAAATCCAGAATTTTTTGAACACAGGAAGGAAGAGCGTTGTGCTCGTGTTTGGGGAACCACCTGCGCAAAGCATCCACATGTAAAAGTAAGCACAAATCAATTCTATTTTTGCCTCCAGAAATATAAATAATCTCATTCAGAGGCATCTGATGGACTGGATTAAGATGGCAGCCACAACCACTTGATTGAAGTCCCGTCTCTTCACATGCAAGGAAGGCTTTGACTGCGCCACTATAGCAGCCTAACTAAAAGGTTAAATCATGGCCACGGGACCAAAATTTCATTAGTCAAAATTTTTTTAAAAAAGAGAGAGAAACTGCTGAAGTTGGCATGGCAAGAGTTGGTACATTCCAGCTATTCTCTTGACTACCTAATTTTTTATTTTCTCTGCTGAAGTTGTTTGGATGAGCAACAAAACGTCTCAGATTAACCAATTTTGGTCCCATTGCCATGATTTAACCTTTTAGATAGGCTGCTATAATGGCACAGTCAAAGCCTTCCCTTGCATGTGAAAAGAGATGGGACTTTAATCAGGTGGTTGTGGCTGCCATCTTGACTTTTGGCCTGGATGATGGATTCTTCATTGACAGGTTACAGCAGCCATCCTAACTTTTTGACGATATCTCGGGCTGTTGATGCCCTTGGTGCACTGTGATACTTTTCACTACGTTCCATTGTTACTGACAGTAGTCAATATAAATGAAGATTTAAGTCCTCACTGGGAAAAGTTTGGAATCGTAAGAATTCTTGGCTACAGGAATGCAGTCCAAACCATGGAATGTACTGTCCCCTCATATATATTTTTTCTGCTTTTAGACAGAATGTCACTATCTAACCTGACTAGCTTGTTCAGAGCTTCATCTATTCATTTACAAAAAAGCAGTGTGCAATAATTTAAACAATATATCACAACCATATAAAGGGATATTCGTTTAAAAGATGTGTGGGAGAAAGCGAATACCATAGATCCATTCATTCAGTATTTCTACAAGGAATGCTTGGATTTTCAACTGATACTAAAAGTTGTCATAATAGGCGCCTCACAAATTTAAGGAGGGGAGCATTTCTCCAATAAACTCCACCATGGAAAAGGACTAACTGTATGCAATCCCAAAATAGTACCCTTCAGTGTTTGGGACACACACCAGCACCCTTTTTTGATGGTCTGAGAAATCAGCTATGTGTCTATTGCAGGATCCATCTGGGTCGGTCACCAAGTTTAGTCTTCTGAGCTTTCAGAGTTACGCTGGAGCCCATCTTTCAGGGAACTTCTCTCTAGCAGAGTGTGTGTGTTCTGTCCCCCCACCTCACATAGGCAGACACACGAGCAAAAGACGTCCACCAGTAATTTATTTTTACAAGCTGACCTGAATCCTTTGGCAGATAAAAGTTCTGGCAGCTACTTTCCGAATGCCTGCCAAGTTTCTTATCACCTCTAGAAACAGGAGTCAGCGTATCTCTAATCCGTTGCTGGGGCAACCAAGAGTTCACAAGGCATAAAAGAGTAGTCAGAAGTCATTCACAAAGTCCAAGCCTTAATTCCGAAAGATATCCCATCCGAAGCTCACGATATGCAGTTTTTGTCCGTCACAGAGCCTGCAGAGCAACCCCACCCACTTTTATCCCCTGTAGGGCATGGCTCAGTGACTCAGCAATCTCTGGCCCTTCCACACCTCTTCCTTTGCTGCGCACGCTTCTCCCTCCGATGTTGCCTGGGATCAATCCAAGATTGATCTTCATCACTCCCTATTAGTGGGTGCTCCAACATGCCTTCCTCCTGGCCTTCAGCTGGAACCTGAGGCGTTGCCAGAAAGGAGGGTCCTGGAGAAGGAGACCTTGTCAGTTCCTCCCCATCATTTTCAGAGTCATCTTCCTCCGTGAGGACAGCCGGAGTCACAACAGTGTGTTTTGTGTGCTATGTCTATGAAATCAGCTATGTCTATATGGATGAAAGTAGTCTGTCAGTTCACATACTTTCTCTACATTAGCAGCATGTGGAATCTTAATCCTGGTTTTAAAGAAAAGATGTCTTTTCTTTATTTAGACACTTTAAATCAGGGCTGTCAAACTCAAGGCCTGTGGGCTGCATCTGACCTGCAGGGTGCTTAGATCTGGCCTGCAGGGCTGGCCTGGAAACGGCAAAGGTACCGGACTGCGGTGCCTCTGCTAGTGAAAACAGCGCAGGCCCTCTGTGCCCCATTTTGACCGGCAGGGTGGGTGCTGCAGGAGGCCATCCAGGCCAAGAACAGGGCGTGGGAAGCTGCCTGCAGCCCCCCCCTCAGTGCCCTGTTTTGGCCGGCAGGGTGCTGCAGGCGGCCGACGTGTCGGCCGGTGGTCTCCTCCTCCTCCTCCCGCTTCCCCTGTCAGCCTGCAGAGGACAACTACAATGCTTATCCAGCCCTCCAAACAATTCAGTTTGACATCCCTGCTTTAAATAGTAATATCCACAAATTAGTTACTCCTCCTTACTTTACATCTGAGGTAGAGGAACCTAGGGCATCCAGATATTGTTTGAGCCTAACGTCTAGTTCCAATTAACATAGTCTGAGATATAATGATGAGAATTGAAGTTCCTGTAGTCGCTGGAATATTAATACGTTTTACACAGAGGCTGAATTATTATAGTTGAATATAAGTTCTTTCTAATTCCTGGTAATATCTTTTGATAGATGGTGATGGAGAGTGGAGAGTGGCTTGCTGGGGGCGAACTCCTTGTACTGGAGAGAATAAAATGGAACGATGGACTGGACCAATACCGCTTGACTCCGTTGGAGCTGAGGGAGAAGTTTAGAGAGATGAACGCAGGTAGCTGCTTTGCATAAGTCAAGTTTGACTTGACGTGGCCCTTTCCAGTTAGTGTGTTCCTGATTCTCCCAATGCCATGTTCCTTATATTTCAGATGCAGTTTTTGCTTTCCAACTACGTAATCCGGTGCACAACGGACATGCTCTGCTAATGCAGGATACTAAACGCCGACTGCTGGAAAGGGGCTATAAGCATCCAGTCTTGCTCCTTCATCCTCTTGGTGGATGGACCAAGGATGATGATGTGCCCTTGGACTGGCGTATGAAGCAGCATGCTGCAGTGCTAGAAGAACATGTCTTGGATCCCAAATCCACCGTTGTTGCAATTTTCCCTTCTCCCATGTTGTACGCTGGCCCAACAGAGGTATGAAGTTTATCTCCCTGAACATTATTTTCATTCAATATTGTTCTGGGATCTTTTTTTTTTTTTTCAGAAGTAGGAGAAGAAGGAAAAGAGCCACCAAAATGGGAAGGAAATAAGGGAGAAACCATAACTGTATTTTATTCTCTTTCCCAGTTAATGTTTTAAAATGTATTTATAGGAATTTTCTCTAATTTAAGGCTATCCATCAGCAGCAATTAATCTAGGACAACTTCAGAACAGACATGGTCGGGGAAATAACAGAGAGCCAGGACTGTGGCATCCAATTTTGATACATTCCTTTCTAATATTTGAGTTTTGATGACATGAAGTTTCCAAAGATATAAAAAGGGGGGATTTCTGATATCAGATCTCTCTCTCTCTCTCTCTCTCTCTCTCTAATTACTGTATTGAAATGTTTTAAATACATGAAATAGTATGAATGTGAATGAATCTGTTTGAGAGTAAATCTCATTCCACTTGTTGAGGCCTCTGAGTAAGTGGGTATAAGATCGTAGCCTAAGATACCTTGAAGTACCCACCCACCCACTCTTTTGATAGCATTCTGACATTTTTATGGCAGGTCCAGTGGCATTGTAGGTCTCGAATGATTGCTGGTGCCAATTTCTACATTGTGGGTCGAGATCCGGCAGGTATGCCTCATCCAGAAACCAAGAAAGATCTGTATGAACCCACACAAGGTGGAAAGGTGCTTAGTATGGCTCCAGGACTAACCTCAGTGGAAATAATTCCCTTCCGAGTAGCTGCATACAACAAAGTACAAAAAGCGATGCTTTTCTATGATCCAGAGAGGTAAGTAATAACAGTCAATTACAACTCAATAATTAGCACTTTCTCACATTAGCTGTGTCCTCATTGGAACCAAGCTGCCATTACATCCTTTATTTTATTATTTTATTTTATTACATTTATTTTATCATTTTATATTTTATATTATTTATTATTTATTTTATTATTTATTTTATTTTATTTTGTTATTATTTTATTTATCGCCAAGAGTCGGTCTCGGCTGAACTGATAACATCATCAAAACTGACCAAAGCTTGCATCAATTGGTGTGTGTTCCTAATATATGACACACTAAATCAGGTTTAAATAAAGCTTCCAGGTTTTTTTTCTTTTGATCAAATGAGAGAAAATAAAAAGGGAATTTTGAGAATTTTGACTGTCATCTTAACACATGACAAAAATGATAAAAATTGCTTCCCTATTTTGACCTAATCCTAATTTGAACTATGGTTCACAGTATACATATTCAACACTTTGTTCAGGATTTAGTATGGAAAAATAGAAAAAGAGATGTTTTTTAAAAAAGAAAGAGATGTGTGATGATATGTGTTAAATGCTACTAGATAAGCACAGGAACCAGAGATTGTCTTTTGCAATATGTGAAGTATAAGTATCCCACTTCTGTTACAGAGAAAAGTGTGGTAAATACAATACACTAACTTGGGATGTGGTTTTGGATTGTTGTTCTTTTTTTTTTTTACTTCTGAATATCCCAAATGTATTCTTTTTCCAAAAAGCAATTAGACTTTATTTTGGTGTTTTCTTTGAAAACATTTCGCTTCTTGTTCAAGAAGCTGTAGAACTAAAGAAACTTTTTGGATGAGAAGTGAAACATTTTCCAAGAATACACCAAGAAAGTCTAGTTGCTTTTTGGGGGAAAAACACATTTTAGACAGCCATAACCTGGATGGTTGAGAACCTCCATAGACATTTGCTTCTGAATAGTCTTTAAAAATTTGAATTCTGGGATGATCATCACAGAGAAATGAACTATTGAGTTGTTCAGGCAATATAGCAACCTGAATTACTATTCGTATGTGTGAATGATTACTCTTCAGTAATATGTAAAAAAATAGCATCCATGTCAGATCAGTTTGAATGTACAGAAAGTGAACAAAGATTGGGAAAGTACAACCTTTTGGGTACTGTTTTTGTTAATGCAATATGCTTGCCCTCTCTTCATGTTTCCCGTTTGTTCTTCACCAGGCACACTGAATTTGATTTCATTTCTGGCACACGGATGAGAAAGTTGGCTCGTGAAGGTGACAATCCCCCTGATGGGTTCATGGCGCCAAAAGCATGGAAGGTTTTGACAGAATACTACACATCGATGGGAAAAAATAATTAATTATGCTGTCTCTATCGAAGTGCCTTTATTTTAAATATGAGCTCTGCTGATTGATGAATATGCTACGATGTTTCATCTGGTTTGGAATCTTTTGGTTGCTGGGCATTTTCTTTCTGGGCCATACAATGGTTCTGGACCAACTTTTCCATTTTTAGACCTTAAATAAGCGATTTCTTCTTAATTTCAAAGGAATGCCATAAAACAAGGTTTTACTGTACGCATCAAAAAAAAATAAGATCAAAATGATGAGTTCAAAGCCATAGGGATCCAGCTCTCACAGCCTTTGCCAAAAAATGTTATTGAAACTATGCAACTATGCAAATTATTACATTAATGCTATAAATTGAATTCCTAGAAAGAAATAGGGGATAAACTAGTACTTTCCCATTGTGGTTTGGTGTTTTGGGGGGTTTTTTTGGCCTCCACCAAAACCTTTCATGTAGTTGGGGTGAAGAGGGAGGATTTCATAGTATGTCATTTTTTTAGATGATGATGATGATAATGAAGATGAAATGGAGTTGGTATAATCAGCATTTCCCAACAAGAGAATTCTATGGCAGTTTTCTCTTGGAAACAGTCACAAAGCTGTGCTTATTCTGAAAAATTCTTTACAAATAGCGTTTTGGTCAACTTGGACCAAGAAATGCACCTTTCTCACCCTTGACATTGAGTTTCTTTATAGCCTTGGCCAAATTCTTTCATGAAGGACATCCACAAGCATTTCCCCCTCAACTGGGTGCTAATAACATCATTACAGTCTATATGACTGCCCTTTCACAGCTCCTCTCACCTCTTCAATGTATAGACCAGACTAGGAAACCAAAGTCATGTAGGCCAATACTGCTTTTATTGTAAAGATATAGTAATAGAATCTTACGAGTCTGAATACGTTTCCTCCCTCTCTCTCTCTATCCTTGGGAGAACTAGAGAGGGTCTTGCCTGAAACTTTTTTCAAGATACATTTCTGCCCCCTTATTTGACTATTGTCTTGATAGTTGCTCTGCCATCTCTCCCCCAGGGCCATTTCCTTTCCCCACTAGTTGCCCAAGTCAGCATTCATCATGATCGCCTTAACTCAGGGGTATCAAATTCGCAGCTCTGTGGGCTGGATGCGTCACGTGATGGCCACGCCCACCCCATTTTAGCAAGGGGGGGAGTTGTGATACGTCACGTGACGACAGTGTGACGATGTGAGTTTGACACACCTGCCTTAGCTTATGCAATGCAAGGGCCGATTTGACTGGGGAAGTTTTTCTGAGAGACATGGATTCATTCCTAAGCATCTTCTAGGGCAGGGGTGTCAAACTGGCAGCCCATGGGCTGGATGCATCACATGCGGGCTACGCCCACTCCCGCAAAGGCAAAAGTCATGATATGTCACAACGTCACATAACACAATCGAGTTTGACACCCGTGTTTTAGGTTGAAGTAGAAAGGGGTATCAAAAAAGTCATGACAGCTACAATGCTGTCCTACCCCTTTTTTTACTGTCTTGATTTATCCAGTGATAAACTCTGAATTCTCTTCGATGACCAGATCCAATGAAGGTGTTTTAAAGAAAAAGAAATTGTTAACAACTGGTTTAAAGGACTGATTCAAGTACACAATGGCCGATAGCTTAGTATTTTTTGTAACATCCAATCTTATCATCATCTAAAAGAGGCGTTTAAAACTGGGGTGGGTGGGAATTCAAGGGCACCCTAAGGCAACTTGAATTTGGAGTAAATATTTAAGGGAAAGGTGAATGCATGTGCAGGACACAACTCCTTTTCCCATAGGAAAACTTTTTGCATTTTATATATTGAATCATGACAATTCCTGTATTTTTAATTCTTTTCTTCTTGGTAAGGAGTAAATAAGCACAAACATATTATCACGGTTGATGAATCCCAAATTATGGGGCTTTGTTCCAGAATCTGCTCATAGGGGTAGAAAACATGTTTTAGTTGTAATTTTTTCCGTATATAATTGGTTCAGTCAGAATTAACTTATACATTCCTTTTGCATCTTAATACTTCCGACATGAATGCTAAATAGTTTAATTACATTACATTATGCCCTTCTGATATTTTATTGCTTTTTTTAAAAAAATCAGCTCCTTTTTCTATTGTGCTGTTATACTTAGTGTGCTGTTCAGTGGCAAGGAGAGTGAAACACTGTACAAATCAGAATAGCCACATCATGAAAATCACTGAGAAGGTACGATCTTTCTCAACTTTACATAATTATTTTCCCCATCACCCTAGTCTGAGATAGCCCTGCTTTTGAGAATAATGCTTGGTGCTGTTCTACTACTGGACACACAGCTGCTGCTATGATTAAACAGAATTTTGGCTCTGAAATCCACGTCCAAAATCCAGGGTTATTGAAAACTTAGAATAAAACAGCTGCCCTCTGCTCTGTATGATACATCAGGCAAGTCCAGCTGCTACCTGTATTTTCACAACTGGGGAATTGTTGCATTAAATATCTTCAGTATATTATTTATTTTTGTAAGTTTTATAAAGTAAAACTTTATTTGAAAACGCAATTCAAGGCACTATAAAATTTGGAATCAGTACATCAGACCAAACATATTAACTGCAGAACTGGAAAGAATAAAAATGATGGAATTAAAAATATCCACAAACACTCTGAAACTTTTATCTGCCTGTCCATCCATCCATCGGGTATAAGTATTCATAATTGTTAGAATTTCTTCCTACTGTGACTCCAAGGCGAAAAACTGATTCAGATCATGGATTATAGAGCCTAAAATGGATTGTGGTCATAATTTGGGCATTTATATTAGCTACAGGTATGCTAAGTTTCTTTTTTCTTTTATGATTTTGATTTTTCACTATTCTTGTCCAAAAATAGGCAAGTTGCTTTACTCATTTTCATGTAGCAATTATGCAATAGTCATTTTTGTAGTCTAAATACAAATATTTGAAAATGCTTTTTAAAACATTGCTATAGCATTTAATGCTTTTTGAATTTTTGGGACCAAGAGAATAAAACGGGTTTCCTTTTTTTTTTTTGTCAGTTGAATGCAGTAGTTAAGCAGTAGCTATCTTGCAAATAGCATTGGCCAGAAGACAAGATAGCCAGTATAATTAGTAAAAGGTCCCAGCATTGCTGGCTAATCTACATTAGCCATAAGGCCTTTTATAACCAAGAGCTTTTGGAAGGGAGCTTGAAGATAATCTCTTCTTGCCATTGTAATCTAAATGTTTATAGTGCCAATATTTTTCCAGGTTTTTAACCTAATAGAACTAGAGTCCAAATAAATATGTTGTAATGTGCCTTTACCTCTTTCTACAAAAACACATCCTATAATATTTTATAGCATATTTATTACAGACCTGAAACCGACATGTATGCCTTAACTGTTGCATCTCTTGACAAAAATATCTTCTGGACTTCTATTATTAAAATTCATTTTGGTGACAATATTTCAGTTTGAATGTTTCTGCCTTTCACTTGTCTGCATGTGGTAAAACGTCCATAACTGGCATCTGCTCATTCATCTTAATGTCCTCAAATTGCTTCAAGAGCCACGATGCTACAGAAAGTCTGCAATAGTTCTACATACATTTAGCAGTTTTATCAAAAAAAAAAAAAGGTCAGCATTGTCTATCAGGAAAATGAATAAGTCACTTTGTGTAAAGAGCAAAAGACTCAGATGCTCTTGGTGGAAAAGGAGGAAATAAGTGATTCTTTACAATTTAGTTCATATGTACAAGTAGTCCTCGACTTGCAACAGTTCATTTAGTGACCATTCAGTTATAACAGCTCTGAAAAAAGTAACTTATGACCATTTTTCACACTTACAACTGTTGGCGGCATCCACAATGGTAATGTGATCAAAATTTGGATGCTTGGCAATGGGCTCATATTTATGACCGTTGCAGTGTCCCAGAGTCACTGCATCTGCTTTTGCGACCATTCTGACAAGCAAAATTCTGACAAGCAAAGCCAGATTCACTTAACAACCCTATTGCTAATTTAACCACTGAAATGATTTGCTTAAGAGCTGTGACAAGAAAGATTATAAAATAGGGCAAAACTCACTTAAGTATCTCGCTTAGCAACATAAATCTTGGGCTCAATTGTGGTTGTAAATCGAGGACTACCTGTCCTTGAGAGCCAGTTTTATTTAGTGGTTAAAGGCATTGAGCTAGAAACCAGGAGATCATAACACTCAACCTACCTGAGGGACGAACCTTGGACCAGCCACTCACAGCCCTAGTTTTGCAAGGGCAAACCACTTCCAAAACTGCAGGGGGTTGTCCAAGTAGTTATTAGGAGAGGGATGGAGTGTACGTCTGTAATAATACTAGTTATTGTGGGTGTTGAAGTCTAGAAGATACCAGGTTAGGGAAAGATGTCTTGGAACAATTTAGCTCTCATAATCTTGAATTAAACTAATTCTAGTCTTAGCCAGCATGGCTAAAGTGAGAGATGACTGGAGTTGCAATCTGCAACCCTATTTCTCTGCTAGATAGAAAGAAAGAAAGAAACCCACCTTGTACAGGTCCTTGACTTACAACACTTCATTTAGTGAGTGTTCAAAGTTACAATGGCACTGAAAAGTGGGATTTGTGTCCATTTTTCTCATGTTGTGGCATCCCCATGATCACGTTCAAAATTCAGATGTTTGTCAACTGGGTCATACTTATAACCGTTGCAGCATCCCAGGGTCATATGATCCCTTCGTGACCTTCTGACAAGCAGAGTCAACGTGGGAAGCTGGATTCACATAACAACCAGGTTATTAACTTACCAACTGCGCTTGAATCACTGAATAACTGTGGCAAGAAATGCCATAAAATGTGGCAAAATTCACTTAACAAATGTCCCATTTCACAACTGTGACAAGAAGGGTGATAAAGTGGAACAAAACTCACTGAACAAACATCTCACTTAGCAACAGAAATTTTGGGATCAATTGTGGTTGTAAGTTGAGGACTCCCTGTACTGCCTCCAGCAAAACGTCTCCTCAGAAAATAAACGAACACCGAAACTGAATCATAAATAGGCTGGCTAATCTTTTTTTATTCATTTACATTTAGCCACTGCAGTGAGAATACATGTATATACTTGATCCTTAAAACCATGTGGAAAAACATATATTTTTAAAAACACACAATTTTAAATGGTTTGCCATGATCATGTCACATTTATTGCTTCATTCTCTAGTTAATCAAGCTCAGCTTTTGTCAATGGGTTTTCAGGTTTAAGAAAGGAACCCTTAAATATTCCTATGCCCATTATTATTTTACAGAGTAATTGTGCTTTTTTATGTCAGTGGAGGCCCCATATGCTGGTAATGACAATAATAAAGCACAAACGTACCTAACGACAAAGCTTGTGGCTTGGATTTCGGAGTCTCAAAACTCTTGGTGGACTATTTTACTCTCATGAGTAAAATAGGATGACACATAAACCTGACACAACCATAGCGCTGTACAGACCACAACTACAGACATGATGTCCGTGACGGAACAGTGAACAGCCCACTCCCACTCCAAAATCACACACTGTAACAAGAAATGGGAGCCCCCATAGAGAGAACACGTATGCTTAATATTAGCAGATATGTTATCTCCACCTTTCAAACTAGTTGCAGGCATTGGGTCTTCACCTGGAGCTCTAACATACCATGTCAACTGCAAGATGGAAGGAGGAAAAAGGTAGGCACTTCTTTCACAAGAAGTGTGAAAAGGAGTGCTAGTCAAGCCAATAATGGGGCTGGAATTTAATTTTAGAATAGTGCACAAGAAGAACAACAATCTCAACTGTAAATACATTATGAATTGTTTGTAACTATTCAAGAACCATCTTGATTGCGCAAAGAGTCAACATTCAGTAAGTGCTTATCTGAATGTCGGAAGAGCTAAAAGTACAATAATTACAAAGTACCACAATGGTGTTAACATGGCTCCATTATAAAGTAAGGCGCTCTGCTGAAATCATGGCTCTTAAAACAAGGAAGTAGTAGTCAACACTGGGAAGCTTCTGTTTTGTTTGGTACAATTCTTCCAAAAACCTTCTGCATCCATTCTATCTTACTTGAGAAACATCCCTCAACCCTTGGAGAAGTTTTGTAGGGGCAGGAGGAAGAGACGACAAGAAACTTGCCATGAATTTTCTTAAGTCAGCTGATCTTATAAACAAATCCCTATTTTCCCCCCACAAAAAATAATATACTAATACTTTTATCTGGAAGTCAAATAATTTTATAAGGCAAACATTGGGCTGTTGAATATGCAAATTTATGCCATGGAACTATGAAGATGCCAAAAGACTGCTATTTTTGGTGCTGCAGACTAACTAAGTTATTCGTCTGGAAATCATAAATAAAATTGTTCCTTTGAAGGAAGTTCCATGAACTTTCAATTCGAAGTTTCTATCAACACAATCGGAACTATCAAGAATGGAAAGATAATTTCCATTCTTGACCATTAGTACCTCTGAATATTAGAAATACGTCTCTTTAGTCTATAAATGCAAATAAATATTTTATTATAAAACTATACAGCTATGTCCCAGGGATAGCTAATGGAGTTTAGTGACCAAGGAGGGTGATAAAAATCTATATCTTACTACTATATAGCAATACATCTGGTGGAATAAATATCTAAAGAATATTCTAGAAATTAAACAGATTGTTCACATTTATTACCTCTTAAACAAGTTGAAGGGAAATTCATTCAACGTTTTCAGGTGCTTCTTACTTCGTATGTTTAAATTATGCCTACTAAATTAATATTTATGGCTGGAATGATGGGGTCAGAAGGCAAACAGGCTTGAGATTTTAAGTCATCTTTTAAATACAGTGACAAAGGACATCAGAAGTATTGACCAAGGTTTTAAAAAGTCTTGAGAGACCTCATGCATAAAGAGCATCTGCTGAAATTTCCTGAGCTGATCTTTGGATCCTAAGCATTGTCCTTAAAACAAACCTGGAATCAGTGACATTTAATTTCCCCTCTTGCAAATAAACCAAAACACTTAAAGGAATAGAGAAAAAGATAAATCTGTTTCACTCAGTGAGAGAGAAACAAAGTATGATTTATGCTACAATAAACTTAAATGGGACTATTCTGAGTTTATGAAAATTATGAAGTGAAATGATACATCTTAAAATGAATATATTTGGTCACAAGAACTAATATCTAGCTTTGCTGTTGTGGCAAAAGATTATTCATCGACATTCATAAATGTTTAGAACATGAGGTACAACTGTGTGACATTTATTTATAGGCCATAGAAAACACTGGAAAGATACAGCAGTTTAATGAAATGGTTAGATAAAGTTATACTTTTTTTTTTTTTACTTTGAGGTATGGCTGAAATTAAGTAGAATAAAATTTGAGACATGAATAAAGATTCAGAATACAATAAAACCCATTAAAATGAAAGGCTTAATTGAAGAATTAAATCAAGTACTTTACCACAATCTACCTAAGGAATTTGTCCTAAACTTTAATATTGCAAAAGAGATTTGTATAAATGACTTTAAAAGGTCAACTTACTGATATCACAAGCTGTATTTTTATGTATGGCTGAAAATCAGAGAAGCGTGTCCAGAAGCATAGATATTTTTCAAGTATTTTTCTTTTCAGATACATACCTCAGATATGTACATACCTCTGATATGTACAAGGGGATTGGATAGGATTGATTTAGCAATAAAAGGAAAATTAAATTGGGGAATGACACCTAACCCCCATTTTGATTTAATATCATCCATAATGCAAAAGCATTTGATCATCACATATATATTTACCCACTCAGTTCTTAACCTCAAATATTTTAGCCACTTAAATGGGACTAAAATTCTAAGACGGCCTGACTTGGATTTATTTTTAAAAGAATTATTTCATTTGACAAAATCTGCTTTATTTAACAGAAACTGAATTGTGTTTTCCTTGGCTACAGATTTTCCATTTTGAAATGGACACATAAAAAAGAAGTAAATCATTCTAGATAGGATATGATCTGTAAATGTATAGAACATTTTGGTTCTATATCCAAAGAAAAGAAGCTTACAAGTATACCTAGAATTAGTGCACAGATATGAATTTGTGGGGAGAGACAACAGTAAATGAATTTAAGAAAATAAATCTCATTATTCCAATCTTTCCTATTATTATTTCATAATGAATACGAAATATGATTATTTCCAACTCTGCAAGATCCCTGTCTTATAGAAAGAAATGTAACTAAAATTGAAAGCCACTGTCCTTGATGTTATAATTTTTGTCATTTCCACTTAGAGCGGTTAGAAGGTTTAGAGCAGCAAAGAAGGAAATTTAGCAATGGCAGCATTTATGTCTGGTAATTATATAAAGGACATTATTCACAATTCAGAAATAAAAGAAAACATTAACAACCTGTAGCTTCCAGTGTTCTGCCTACAATGGTAAGCGTCAATTATATAAAAAGGTATTAAAAAGAATACAATTTGTAGGATCATACAAGATGAAAACATTCATGAGACGTTGCACACATTTTATATTTAGATCAGGGGTCTTCAATCTTGGCAACTTTAAGACTTGTGGACTTGAACTCCCAGGGTTCCTCAGCCAGCAAAGCTGGCTGGGAGTTAAAGTCCACAAGTCTTAAAGTTGCCAAGGTTGGAGACACCTGGCTTAGATCATTGGCACCTGCGCATACTGTCACTTATGATGCAAAGGAGAAATGAGAATTTCCCTACATTACAGACACACACACCATCACCACCCCGACTCCCCAAAAAAGCAGAATTTCTGACTGTGCATTAGGAAACTGTGCAGTTACTATTTTGACCCTGTGATCTAACTCGATCCAGATAGTAAGTAAAAAGAAAAAGAATGAATGGATTTCATATTCAAGTTTCTACATATTATGTCTCTCTATAAAAACTTGCAGATACACATACATATCATATATACATACGCATTGTCTCATACATATATACACAGGCTCTGCTCTCCCTCTCAGAGCAACCATGTGCCATGCGAAAACCTACCAACACATTTTTAAGGCTGCAACAAGGATATTGGTTGAAGCAAGACTTTATCCCTCCTTGTCATGATCTGTCACACGGACCCAATCCAATTCTGCAAAATTATTAGGTTTCAATAACTTAGGTATCAGCATATAAAAACAATTCCAGAAACAGTTGTTAAAAGGATGGGGATTTTTGTTTTGTTTTCAATTGACGTCTACTATTTAAATTACCAGTCACCAAAAGAAGCGATGGATAACCTTAATCTAAACTAACATGCATCAGAACACTTTGATTCGTTGCATCCTTTGATTTCCTCATCTTCTCGATGGCTCGATGCAAATCCCTTTGTTGCACTGGGCGAATTTCATCTTCGTCATTGCTGGAAGAAGAAAACAAAACAAAACAGGAGAAAGTATAAAAAGTGCAATTTATAAAATAAAAGAGACAGAGCATACTATATATCATGCACTATTTGGGAATAATCTAGAGCAAGGGTGTTAAACTCAAGGCCCGTGGAGCAGATTTGGCCCGCCGGGCCACCCTGGAAACGGAGCTTGGGATTGGTCTGCGGTGCCTCTGCCAGCAAAAACGGAGCTTGGGATGGCCATGTGCGGTCCTCCCAAGCTCCATTTTTGCTGGCAGAGGTTTGCAGGAGGCTGTCGCAGCCGAAAACAGAGTTCGGGACCCCGTTTTTGCTGGCAGAGTGCTCAAGCCAACACAAGTTCCCCCGACATGAGTGAGGTCGAGCTGGCCAGGCTCACCTTGACCACGCCCACCCTGGTCCGTTAAGGTCAAACACAACTCTGATGCAGCCCTCAATTAAATCAAGTTTGACACCCCTGATCTAGATGTATGAAACCTGCTTCAAATTCCAACCAAACCATTCCAAATGTTGAGTCTGAAACATTGTTCTTGCGTTCAAAACAATAATCTTTGGAAGCATTTTGACCACTTCAGAATTGTTCTGAGGTGTTTCACAATAATTTAAACCGGATACTCATACTGTCAGGGTTCCAAGTAACAGACCCAAAGCAATCAAAACTCTGAGGCCTAGAGTTTCCCAAAGTATGAATTTATTAGGAATGTCATATTGGCACAGTTGGTGAAAACCTGACTCTGAAGGACACCAGGTTTCCCCCACCCAAATCAAAACCCCAAGTTCTTGCCCCCAAGTCACACGTCCATCACATGGCCCAATCAGGCCACAGTCTCAGCTCCAGCTGGCTCTTGTCTATGCCCCTCCAGCACCTGGTAGAGTGTCCTTGGCTCCCACAGGAAAGAATGTTATTTTGGCTACACATCCTGCCAGCTATCTCTATCTCCCCCCTCATGTTCCCACAGCTCCAACCGGCCTTGTTGTGGCAGCCCTGAAGATGCTCCCAAAATGGCTTCAAGGCTGACACGCACATTTGAAATTCTCTGCCATCTTATGTGGCATTAATGTAATTCTCACTTCTCCAGATGCAAGAAGTCATGTATTAAGAGCACATCCATCTTGCTACATAAAGTAAGGAAACAGGAAGGAATCCCCTCCTAATTCTTGTTAACACTTCACCCAATCTTTAGGCTATGAGAATCCATTTCTGTTTTTTTTAAAAAAAAAACACCAGCAAAATTGGCTCCTAGATATCAAGCCTTCTGGGGCATTAAATAGAAGTACCTGTCTTCATATGCAGTATTTACATATTCCCTGACACACAGGAGTGCAGCATCGCGGCACATTTCTTTCAAGTCACTTCCTGAAAACCCATCCGTTTCTTTGGCGACTTCAAAGAGATCCACATGCCTGTCCACCTGTCAGCAAAGAAAAAAACAGCACATACAGGGGCTACAGAATTAACTTATAAACAATAAGGAATAGTTCAGACTGAAATAGAAACAAATAATTTGTCATGCTTGATTTTGTTAAAAACAAATTACTTATTAAGGACTTTGGTTTATCAAATTCTTATTTATGGAAATTCAAAAATGACCAGAATGGCTATATTAATTAGAAAATCTCCATATATTATACCTGAACATGATGTTTTGGTTATTGATGGGCACCTTATGATTTTGGCAATTATTAATAGCAATAGTCAAATGGCTCTGATAAATTGTTATATCCTAACTGGAGATAAACTGGATATTTTACGTAATTGTTCTGGAAGTCATTTTCATTTACAAGAGATTATACATGCAGTCCTTGCTTAACGATTTGGTTCCTTAGCAATTGTTTGAAGATACGATGGAGTCCCCTCCAAAAGCTATTTAGAACCCAGTTCCAGAGTTCCAATGGCTGTATGACCTCTCCAGTCACATGACCATGTTTTGGGCACTTGGCAACCAGCTCACCTTTACAATTGTTGAGCACATGAGCATTTGTGATCATGTGGTCTGCAGGACACTGCAACTGGTTATAAGGCCTAGTAACTGCCAAGAACTCATATTGAGATGGGGGGGGGGGGTTTGGTACAATGGCCATCATAGTCAGGGGTGGTTTGTACTTACCTTTACTATTGGTTTGCAATGGGAGCGTGCGCGCAGAAGCTTCTGCACATGCGCAGATCATCAATTATGACTTTCAGGCGAGTGGGCGGAGCCTCCCGCCGCTTTTACTACTGGTTCACAAGAACCAGACAGAACTGGGAGCAACCCACCACTGATCATAATGAATGCAAATCTCAAGTTTCTTTTTCCAAAGCTGTTGTAACTTTGAGCCATCATTAAATAAACAGTCGTAAGTTGGGAACCAGCTGAATTGTTTTTCATGTCATTAGCCACTCTTTTGAGTGGACAACTATATAAAATGAGTAAATACACGCATAAATTCATGGTAACCAGATGGCAGAAACTGAAGCAAATTTGCTACATATGCAGATAATATGAAAAGTCTCTACCGATATAGGGACCAACAACATGGTAAATATTTTGGACGCACAATAAATTCGAATAGTTTAACATTTTCCCAATAGGCAATAAGATTTCTAAAGATATATGACTATTTGGCAAAATTTTGTTACAATCCATGTTTGGGGAAAGTCTATGAGCCAGAATTTTATTTTTTAACTGAGTCATTTACAGAGGAGTAAAACCTCCATGATATAAGAACTTAAAGAAACTATTTGTCTTCAACCATGAGACACTGTTGTAGGAATACAAAATAATTTACTTCAGAGTACAAAAAATGACCAACTTACATTTTCATTTTTCAAAATAAGTTTCAGGATTGCTTCCCTCTGTTTTAGTGACTTTAAATTAAAAGAAAGAAAACGTGTTATTAATACAAAACAGGAATTTTTAAACTCCAATCTTATCTTACAACATTAATGATGCCTTGAAACAACTATTCTGCTATAGATTCCTTGTTGTACCATTGGATCTCCCAGAGAAGGCACTGATGATGGAAGGTAGTTTCCATCATCAAATGCCAAATGCTTCTCAAGTAAATGTCATCATTCTCCTACCTCAACAGCACCCAGGTTCTTTATTTTCTTGTCTTTGCTTCTGGAAGAAGCACTCACGAGAGAATAAATCCTTTGATAAGAGGAATTCATGGAAGATAGTTGGAAGTTATTTAGGAGGGAACGGGAAAACTTGCCATAGTCGACTTGCTGCAGCCAACTCGCCATGGCCAACTCATCAATACCAACTTGCTATAGGAAAACTCGTCATGGCTAACTCATTGTGGGAGAACTCGCTGCAGGACAATTTAACAATTCTATTTAAATATTTTAAATAAATAAATAAATTTTAATTTTTGCCATTCACATTTCATTCTGTCCCTCCTTTTGCATCCTTTCTTTATTGGTTCAATTTATTGGTTCAATTTTAGTGAGTCTATTCCACCATTTCTTTGATATTAGTGTAACTTGTCCTGCAGCGAGTTGTCCTGTGGCGAGATGGCCGTGGCAAGTTGTCCTGCAACGAGTTGGCCGTGGCAAGTTGGCTGTGGCAAATTAGCCATGGTGAATTGACCGTGGCAAGTTGTCATAGACCCATTTGGGAGAGGTCAGTCAGAAATTGAGTCTGGAGCAGCAAGAAAAACATATCCAAACACAGCTAATTCCTCAGCACACATAGAATCTTTCCAGAACTTCCTTAAACACAGATACAAAAGGCAAATCAAATACAAATAAAAAAGGCACAATAAACAGCAAGATACCACCAAACAGTTTTAATACAGATTATAAAGGACAGAAAACTGAATAAAAGCTGAAACTTATCCCAAACAAGGCTGATGGACTTCAGATGAGCAAGAAACTGATTAAGTCAAGAGGTAAATATAGTAGCTGCTCTTAAATAATGGTATGTTTCCCCTGCTAAATTAAAATGGAAGCTTTATAAAATTTTCCTTTCTACGTATCCAGGGTAGAAGTTTTTCCCCCCACACTTCCTGCTTCCTAGAGAAAACAGGTATGGCAACTTTCTGATTTCTCTTGGTCACATCCTCTAAAATAGGAGTCCCCCAACTCGCAGTCTGTGGGCCACTACCAGTCTGCGGCCTGTTGAGAACTGGGCTGGGGAATCAGCAGGCAAGCACGCAAAACTTCATTTGTGCCAATGTGGAATCTAGGCTGCCCCCTTCCACCACCACTGCCAGTCCATGGAGCCAGAAAGTTCGGGGATGCTGCTCTAAAAGTTTTTTGAAAAGTACATCGAATTTATAACTCAAGCAAAACTCCATGGGTGTGACAGGAACGCCTATCTCAAACATAAGTTATTAGATCCAATCTTCACTGCATAATAGATGTTTTCTGAGGAAAATATAATTTGTTATCCTAGTTTTAAAGCCCTATATAGCTCAAAGAGGTAATTACTCTCTTCCCTGTGAAATTTTCAAGGAACAGCCTATGATACTTTATATCACTTTAGGGAAATATTGGATGGCATAGAAATAGGAGGGGAACATTCTAAGCAGATTGCCCAAATTTTGGTATGTTGTCGTCAAGGAATCCTGTTTGTTCTCTCATTTCATCGTAAATAGCTTGTGTTTGTGTATTTGGCTTGTTATTTTGTTTTTCTTTGTGATAAACTACCTTGGAAATCTAGTATGAGGTAGTGTTAAGATACTAGGCTAGACACCAGGAGACCATGAGTTCTAGTCCTGCCTTAGGTACCAAGCAAGTTGGGTGATCTTGGGCCAGTCATTTTTTCTGAGCCTTAAGAAAAAGGCTGTGGCAAACCATTTTAATCAACTTACAGGTTGATTGATATGAAACCTTGTAGGCATTCTTCTCATAATGGCAGTGTCAAGATCCTGAGGGCGATTGGTAGCTCCCATCACTATCACCTAAATGTAATGTATGACAAGGAACAGTTATTCTTGATGAAATACATGAATATTGACATATCATGTCTCACAAACAATTGGGCCTGTTTTTTTAAAGAATGTCTTTTCCCATTACTATCATCAGGACATAATTTATCTGAATCTGAATAAATCTCTAGATGCTTAAATTTATCTAGAAAATCCTACAATTAATTGAGAGGCATTACAAAATGGTGTTTATAAATACTGATTCCAAAGTACACGATTACAACTGCATCTAAAATATGTCAGAGTTGAAAATGTAGTAGTAGTAGTAGTAATGTTGCTACTATCTGCATATGGAAACAAAACTGATTTAAGAAATTGTTGATCAATTGTACATAGCTCTAGATTTTTACCTCCAAATTAATTTGATAGTGACAGAAATGGAACTTTTATCCATCCTGAATTTGACTAAAGCTTGTTTGATCAACATCAAACATACATTTAGAATCAATTATTAGATTTAAAGAGTTTTAGACATACAAAAGCAGTTTCAAATGAAAATAAAGACCTCCTTTTGCTTAATATTAATATTCAAAATGTCACTATTATTTTTAAATTATCCTACTTTGATACCATTTCTCAAACCAAGAGAATTCAAAATCACATGCACAGTACTGAAATGTAGGTTAACCATGAAAAAATTCATGAAAAAGAGAATATTCTTATTATATTTTTAAAAAGATTTTTCAACAGTTTTTTACCATCATTTAAGGCATCTTTTTTTGTATGCTGTACAAAAACATTGTCTTGTTACACTATGTAACAAGACAATGTACAAAATAAATAGGACAAATATTTGGACCACAGAATAAAATGTATCATGTTTAAAGTAGTTCAGAAAGGTTATTTAATATTATTGTTCTATATGCTATTTAAGAGTATGCACATACGGTGGCATCACCTAGAGAAGGAGAAACTCCCCAAATGAAAAAGGAAAGTAGCTAAATTATTTTTTAGCGCACCTCCATTTCTCATGAAATGATTAGAAGTAAAGAAAACAAGGTTCTTAGATGTATGAATTCACTTTGACCCAGGTACTGACATTTTAGGCTTCCCATCACTAGATTAGATTGGGTGGAAAAAGTTTTTAAAAAGTAGTTTGCAATTCAACTGTCTTCTCTTTGAAAAGCTGGCTGGATGTCTCTTTCCCCATTTCACTGTGACTTTCAGCCAATCAAACCGTTTTGTGGTTAGAAAATAACCATGCCAAGTTGCTTAACTGGAGAAGCTACAGAGATATTAATCTCAACTGCATCAGGTAGGTTTTACCAGAATGAGACAAGACTTTCTTCTGGGCACAACTAAACCAAGCAAGAATACAAAACTAAAAATATCAAGTATGACAGGGGATGCACTCTTAGCCTGGAAAAAGTTGCAAATTCCTGCTACACAGTATAGTGTAAGCCCGTGATGGCGAACCTATGGCATGAGTGCCAGAGGTGGCACGCAGAGCCCTCTCTGTGGGCACACGTGCCATCGCCAACTGCTCTTCTGATTTCCAGTGGGCACATGCTCTCCGGTCAGCTGGTCTTTGCAGGTGCCGGAAAACAGCTGGAAAATGGCCCGAAAAATGGCCAAAAACAGCCTGGAGTCCTGGAAATCCAAAGACCAACTGGCCGGCGCATGCATGCCTGTTTTTGGGCTGTTTTTCAGGACGTTTTCAGGTTGTTCTTCAGACCAAAAACAGCCTGAAAAATGGCCTGAAAACGACCCAGAAAACAGCCTGCAAACGGCCAAAAAACAGGCATGCATGCGCCGGCCAGTTGGTCTTTGGGTTTCTGGTGTTCCGGCGTGTGTGAAGGCCAGCTGGCCGGCATGCACATGCGCACTGGCCAGCTCGTCTTCGGGTTTCTGGTGTGCGCATGTGCATGCACATATGTTCTGGTTTGGGCACTCAGTGCCAAAAAGGTTTGCCATCACCGGTGTAGGCTAATAATTTGGGACTGGCACCTGGGAAACCAGGTTCTATTACTTAGCCATGGGTGACTTTGGACAATATGTTTTCTCAGCGTAACCTCATAGGGTTGTTCTTGTGAGAAAAAATGAAAGGAAGAAATACTATGTAAAGTACATCTCCCGAAGGAAAGAAAAATAATAAATGAATAAGCCACCTTTTTGTGCTTCCATTTCTCAAGCTGACAATTTTTATACGCCACAGTGCTTGCTAATAAATGCCTATAAATGAGCATCTAAGCAATGAAAAGTACATTTTTATAAGCATTGCATGACTGTATCAATAAAAACAGTAATTTGCTACTTACTTGGCAATTAAAATCAGTGTCTAGACCATCCCAGAGACTCATGAATTGGGCTTTCATCATAGCTGTGGCCTCATGATCAGAACTTGAACGGCTTCGTAGGAAAGAATCTGAATTTAACAAAACAAAACAAAACAAAACCAGGATTTGAGTAGAACTTGTATTTCTGGAGTATGAAGCTGTGTTGCATAATGAATTAATTGAGGCACATGCATTAACTGAGAACATATGGCACAAACAAGAAGATACACAGAATAGCATCCTATGTGATTAAGAGGACTACTGGACAGTGTTTCTGAAACAACTGTTCTTGGATCTTCTAGCAAACAGAAGAAATTTCCAGAATCAGATGCAACCAAGAAGGGTGGATGCCCCATGCGCCTTTTTTCAGTTGGTTATTTATTGTCTTCAGTTTCTAGGAGTCTTACAAAAAAAATGCTGAACTGGGAGACCTGGTTTTGATAAAGTAATTTCAGTTCTTAAACAACAGTACAGTTCAAGATCCTTAGACATAAATTAGTAATACCTTAACTGGATTGGTTAATATTCCCTCTGTTTTATATATTTGAAAAGGCACATATCAACTAGGGACATTATAGCAAAAACATTTTTGTTGTATCTGTTAATAGATAGCATTTAAATGTATTACATAAGAAGTCTAAAATATGATTGGGCATGCTGTAGTCCCTGTATATAGTAACATAACTAAATACTACTATTGGCCAATGCAAATATTCAAAACCACAAAAATATTCCCATTGAACATTGCTGTTACTGTTTTTTTTAAAGATTTAAAACGATATTTTCAGCTTTGGATCTTCCTTAAAATAAAAGTCTCATCAATTTAAAGTAATAAATGTCATATACCTACTGAGGAGCGTGACATCTACTTTCCCCCCTCAAATTATAATATCCTTATATAACCCATCTCTTTATTGAAAAAAAATCAGTAACAGTCCTTCAATTGTCCAGAGAAAGTATGAAAATGTATAAAATAAAAGTGGCGTAAAATTGGTATAGCATGCAGGAGTTGAGGGATGGGTTCACAGCATCTGGAAGTCAACCTTAAAATGTAACTTCATGGTTGGCTTGTTTTGAAACCACTATCCAGTATTATTTCACAGGACTTGGGTATTTGCAGGAGTGCCCACACAAAGTGGAACTTGCTCATCTGGTGAAAACTAAAAGGTAGGGCTTGGTGTGGGTCCCAACCCTTAGGCGCTGTTTTCTTCTAGAATTCCAGGGATGAGCTTTCTCAGTTCTGGTCTCCTTCCTCACAAACCTCCTCAGCCTGATGTAAGGGCTGGCCCCATCCCTGTTAGTGTTCATGAAGACTAGGAAGATGTAGCTCTTTCAGAAACCCTTGGAGGAATGGGAAAATAGGAGGAACATTTCCCTGCGAAACTGGTGGCCATAGTAGTTGGATTTTTTTTAAAGTTTAAAAAGTTTAAAACTTTTGATGTTTTATCATATTTTAATCCAAACAGTATACTGAAGACTGTGTAAGCTACTTAGAATCAGTCTTACTGGAGCAATATGTACAATCTGAAGATATGTATGTATGTATTCTAGCTGGGATATATCTGATCCCATCACTTAGCCAAAGAAACCAGCTAGGAATAGAAATTGGTTGTTAATTTACACTTAAGAGGAAAATTAAAGGACAACATGGAAGGGGAGACTTTTTATATCAGGGGTCCCCAACCCCTGGGCTGCAGCCCATTATCATGCCATGGCCTATTGGGCTCCGTGAGTGGCTAGCCAGAGCAGCTCAATTTGAGCAAGTGACGGGCTGGTGGACAACCATGCACATGCCTGCCGGCCCTCTGCTGGCACAAGTCAAGCTGTAGGCATGTGTGCCAGCCCGCCACTTGCGCAATCCAGTTCCCCTCTTCCCCTCCCCCAGCTGGGCTGCCAAACTGCAAAGGTTGGGGACCGCTGTTTTATACTAACTGTAATGAGAAAGAAACTATTTTTTGTTATAGAATTTGGCTTTTTCCAGTGATATGTCATCCAGCTAAGTATTATATTACAGGGATTTAAGCAATAAGCGTCATATCTAATTTTACATATATATGAATTAGGAACTGAATGTGCCCATGCTAAATGTAGAATCAGTGTGATGTAGTGGTTAAGGTGCTCGCCTAGAAACCAGGAGACTGTGAATTCTAGCCCCATCTTAGGCGTGAAAACTGACAGGGTGACTTTGGGCCAGACTCTCTCAGCTCAACCCACCTCACACAGCTGTTGAGGGAAAATAGGGGGAATAAATATTATGTATGTTCACTGCCCTGAGGTATTTATAAAAATAATAAAAGATGGGATAAAATAAATGTTATCTTTTTTAAAAAAAATCCATATAATATCTAACAAAGATTTTGAATTTCATACTGGATATATGCTAATGCTGAAGGGATGAAAAAATGATCTGCTCTATCCATTACATTAATCCAAATAGACTATGGAAAGACCTTTATTTTTCTTTAAATATTAAATATACATATAAAATTATAGCAATATAACACTGCTGTTTCAAATTAAACAGCAGCCTCCTTTAAAAAAACAAAACAAAAAAACTCTATAAAGATAACTCTTGTTCTGATACTGATAATACTAAAATTTTTTGATCTCATGTGACCAGACTAATGAAGAAGACTATGAAGTTTTTTAAAAATGTGAACGTTATATTTTCAAATGTGTAGAAAATTCCACTTTACCTATTTCATCAATAAAGATGATAGAGGGTTGGAGCTTTATAGCAAGAGAAAAAACAGCCGCTGCCAGCTTCTGGGATTCGCCATACCACTTGTCTGTCAACGTTGAGGGCTGAAGATTAATAAAGCGGCAACCAGCTTCCTTTGCTGTAGCTTTAGCAATCAAGGTTTTACCACAACCCGGAGGGCCGTATAGCAGCACTCCTGAAAACCAAAACACAGTTAATAAATTTATCGCCATTTTACATAGGAAAACATAGTATCTGCATTTTATACATGCTGCGGTTAATAAAACTCTGCAAAAGTCCCCACTGTTGTTTTTAAGCTGCTCTATCAAATCAAATCAAATCAAATCAAACCATTATTGTCAATGCACAACATGTGTACAATGAAATTGAATGAGCCTCCCTTGGTGCAGCCCCCTCCCCCCCGAAACACAAAATACTCCATAAATAAATGAAAGAAATAGAATCCCTAAACCCGAGTAAGTAATAACTAACACACATTCCCATATACCTACTTATATGTATGTAACATTATATTATATTACATCGGTATGAACATGTTGCACGTTGTGCTGGCCCTGCAAGTCTATCATATTAAACCTAATTGTGGTGCTATGTTGTGTTCAGAAGTCTGACGGCCCATGGATAAAAGCTATTTTTCAGCCTGTTCGTTCGGCTGGCTATGCTTCTATATCTCCTGCCTGATGGTAAGAGAGTAAAGAAGTGCTGACCAGGGTGTGAATCATCCCTGAGGATTTTCCTCACTCTGTTGAGGCAGCGGGTCCTGGCAATTTCGTCCAGTGAGGTCAGGGGACAGCCCGTAATTTTTTGTGCTGTGCTCATCACCCTCTGTAAGGCCTTTCTGTCTGTGCCTGTCAAGCCAGGATACCATACCATACCATACCATACAATATGTAAGGACGCTTTCTATTGTAGACCGGTAAAAGGAAGTCATCAATCGTTGTTCCACCTGATTTTTCCGCAAGACCCATAAAATATGCCATAAAATCCTGACATTTATCTGCCCATTTATTACAGTGAGCACAAACTCAGAAGGACAGAAACAAGCTATACAGGCAGAAAAATATACTTATGTGGTGAAAATATGATTCTGAATTTTAAACTAGGCAAAGCTTAGTAGAATTTTCACCTATATATTAAGAGATACACAAGATACGGACCTTATTTACCCAAATTAAATATTTTATTCATGTTGAAATTATTTTAAAGTTCTGCACTGTCATTTGCTAGTTATTTTATATTGCTGTCCTTTAAGCCATCTTATGAATTGTATTCTAAATTGAAGAGTGAGGTACTAAGCAATATTGCAAAGCTACATAAATGTATATATTTAACTGGAATGACATGATTTGGAAGAAAATCTCTACTTTTTCCACATCTAAATTAATCTTCCACAAAAACAGTTTATTATAAATCAGGACAAGTTCAAGTGATCTTTCTAAGTTTATTTTAAAATAAACTTAGAAAGATCACTTGATTTTTTATACAACTTGAGCTTTTGTCCTTGAGGAATTCTATTATGGCCAGGTTTTCTAAAAACATTAATTTGTACTTCTTCACATTACCTTTTGGTGGTTGTAGAAGTCTCGAGTTTTGAAATAGATGTTTTTTTCTGATTGGCAAAATGACTGTGTCCTTCAGATCTGTAATAACTTCATCTAAGCCTGCAATATCATTCCATGTTACCTAAGGCACAAATATAAGATTTTAAAAAATCACTGAGCTGTCGTCAGTTAAACAGCTAAATTCTCAAATTAGGGATAAAGATGAAAGTTACATTGAATCTTAAAGCTATTTTATATTAAGCATGTATCTCACCGAACAAGAAAAATAAAACAAAATATATCCCAGAGGTTGCGACTTTACTCTCTTGATGCTAGTTAAAATAGATTAGTGCTGGGAGGATTTGAATGTATTTTTATAATATACCATGTAATTATTTTTACTTTCTTACTGATTCTGAAGAAAAATATTTTGATCCTTGATCTAAGAAATAGAGATGTTGGCCTTAAGCAGTATGGCAGGAGAGCATAAGTCTCTTGCCAATAAGTCTTCTTACTAGTATAAATTTACTATTAATAAATTTATCAGTAGTTTTCAGCTACATATGCCTTCAGGAAAGCCTTGCTAGCTGCAGCAAAAGAAACGGGCCAAGGTGTGCGAGGCCTGGCTGCAACTATCCGAAGGTAAGTAGTAGGGCAGTTCTATCACCCTTATCTCCACCCTAGCTTAATTTTTACCCGTGCACCCTGGACTGGGCAGGGTCTTAATTAGGGCTTATTTTGTGGGGTAGGGCTTATATTGGGCGCAAGTGTAAAAATCAAGCTAGGACTTACTTTCTGAGGTGGTCGTATTTTCAGGGAAACATGGTATGTACACATGTGTACGTACACACATACACACACACAGTCCATATAATTAAAAGTAAAACTACTATGGGGGGTATGGCAGTGGCCTCATAACTGGATGTCCAATTCAACTACGCAGGCAATGATCGCCTCTGGCTTTGTTTCATGCAGATCTTTTAGGGAAGCAGAGAATGTACATCGTGGGCAAACTTATACCATATGTTTTATAGTCTGCATATCAGCACCACAATTGCAACAAGGGGAATCTTTCCACCTCCACTGATACAGGGCAGAGGGCACGTCTTCCAGTATCACAACTAATTCTATTCAATTTTGACCAGACAAAGCGAGGCAGGGTCAAAATCAGATGGTTTGGTAGAGGAATCACTAATGGACAGGCCATAAGAAGGTACCTTGGACCATTCCTGACTCCAGGAATTCTTGGGGTTAAACTGAATAGATGTTAAATAAATAACTGTTTTCCAATGTGGCCTATGGGATTTCAATCTTTGACATAGCTATTTGCAACAATATAACTATTTTTTCCAAGGAAACCCCATACTGATATTTTCAGTGTGCTAATTTTTAGGTACCCTAATACTTGATGCTTATACCCAATTCTTGAAATAATCTTATTTGAGCATGCTATAGATACAACATACAATGAATTAATCTACAAACAAGATTAAATTACTGTAATTCAGTCTTTAAGCGTACAAAGAGAACTCTAAATACTATTTTGAAGCATGGTTTTTTTAGCTTCATGTAAAACTGCATATATTCATTGAAGGAAAGTAAAATTCCTGATGCAATGTTAAAATAAGTTAGTACACAAAAAAGTCCATGAACATGCTTATTAGTCAATGATCAGTTCTGATATTTAATAAACGCTAACAATAGTTATTGCAGCATTTTGTTCCCTATTTCATACTATCCCCCCAAAAACAATGTTGCTTCAATTAGCTGCACATGCACAGCATTTTATGCTTCGATATCTGAAAATAGTCACTATGCACTAGTTCTATCAAATAATATTTCAGGTTTTTGAATTATGTATGTGATTGCTTGTATTATTACTAACTTATAAAGATACTGTTTATATTGAGAAAATGTGAAAAAAGATATGCGTCCCGGAAGTTTGGGCCTCTATGATAACTGTACTACTGGGAATCAAAAGCCGACACACGTGTCTGTCCCACAAGGTCCATCTGCTCCCAAAATTAAGAAAATTCAATTAAAATACAGTTCCACTATGAACATGTGTGCTTCCATGTTAAACATTTTGCCCCGAGACATAACATTTTTACATATGAATAAGACAAAAAACACTTACGTGCATACTAAGAGGATCCACCAGATGTGCAGCAATGCTCATCTCATATTCAGAAAGCTTCACATTTTTCACACCTATTTGCTTCATCAACTTTTCTGCCTGTTATAGAAAAGCCAGAGTTCAGCAGTATGACCTCATTTGATCTTTTCAGATAATGTCAGAAAAGGCAGGGGTGCTATTAAGGAATGTGGATATTCCGTTAATTGTGAATTAGGAACTTGAAAAAAAAATAATGCCCCGTTTTCATTGGTTTGAATGCACCATCTCTTTGCTGCAAAATAAAGCCAGCTTGTTAGTAACAATACTTCGAGGTGTCTATCCAGGATAATTAAAGATTATTCGAAGATATTTTAATCTTTGTCTTAATACTCAATGCCCTTTCAATAATAGAGCAATGTACCATTTGAGCATAGTAATAGCAGACTTATATACCGCTTCAAAGTGCTTTATAGCCCTCTCTAAGCCGTTTACAGAGTCAGCATATTGCCCCCAACAATCTGGCTCCTCATTTTACTAACCACCGAGGAAAGTTGAGTCAACCTTGAGCTGGTAAGAATCAAACTGCTGGCAGTTGGCAGAATTAACATGCAATACTGCACTCTAACCATTGTGCCCTCACTGCTCTTGCAGTCATAAACATTACAGGTGTCATAAACATTACAGGTAGTCCTTAAATTGCATCCATTCATTCGTTCAGCGACTGTTCAAAGGTATGACGGTGCTGAATGAGGGGCACTTATGACTGGTCCTCTAAGTTTTGGACATTGTAGCAAGCTGCAGTCACATAATTGTGATTTCATATGTTCCCTGCATGTCTTTCTACAAGCAAAGCCAATAGGGAAACCAGCAAGCACTGTATTATGTAAACTCTTCGCGTTACGATGTTAATTGGGACTGTCATTGCTAAGTGACACAGTTATGTGACATCCTGTATGCCTTTTAAACAGCATTTTAGAAACTCTTTCAAAATATGCAGACAACTTTCAGAATGCTATATTCATTACCGGGGAAGAGAAAATTATTCTCTAGCTATAAAGATCTGTGATGAAAAAACAAAGAACATTTCCACACAGGCAACATTCTATAAGTGGGCTTTGTAAAACAATAGCTCCTAATGAGTCGCCCTTAATTTTAATATATCTAAAAAAAAGCTAATGCAGGGAGATTTCAATTTAACAGATTATTTCCATGCAAAGGATACAGGGAGGTCTTTGAATTTTCATATTAATGTAGCGCACATATGCTGTTAAAAATAACAGCTTGACTCCATTATTTTAGAACATTACCATAATTATGAACAAAGGATTGTGTCAGCTTTAAAGCATAATTTTACACAGGTCTACTCAGAAGTCAGTATCACTGAATTCAATAACGTTTCTCTATTTCATGAATTGCAAAATAATTTAATTCTCTTCCACTGCAGTAGCTTGAGGACTAATGTAGACAGAGCAGCAACCCAGTAATTTAACTGATTTCTCTGAAAGAAAAGCATGTGATTGTGTCTATTTTCTGGGTTGAGATTTAGGAAGCGTTTTTGGGTGCCCAAATTTTCTATATCAGTCATGACTTGGAAATTGAACTACCATATTTTTTGGAGTATAAGACGCACCTCTTTCCCCCCAAAAAAGAGGGTGAAAATCTGGGTGCATTTTATACTCTGAATGTAGCCCTGCCCAGCCTCTCAAACGGAGGTTTCAGAGGCTGAAAAAAGCCTCAGAAACGAAGCTTCAGAAAAAAAGCCTCCAAACAGAGCTTCAGGGGAAAAAAAATGAAGTTTCAGAGGCTTTTTTTCGGAAGCTGTTTTGGAGGCTTTCAGAAGCAGAAAAAAAAGTTTTTTTTCTGAAATGAAGTTTCAGATGTTTCAGAGGCTGAAAAAAAAGCAAGGCACAGAACTCACAACGAACAAACCTGTTGCTAAAATTCACCTCTGGGAACAGCTGATTGGGGGTATTCCAGAAGGCCGATCCACCCGCCAATCAGCTTTTTTCTTATTTTCCTCCCCAAAAACTAAGGTGCGTCTTATACTCCGGTGCGTCTTATACTCCGAAAAATATGGTATGTTGTTTGGCAAGTGTCTACTGAATATTGCTAACATGTAACAGGGACTGTACTAGCCCCCAATTTTTTAAAACTGTGTGAACTGAATTTCCTCTATGCTTGTATATATTTGTCTGCATAATTGATTAAAAGTAGTCGAGTTACTAATGCAATGGAGCCTGCCCATTCCATTTGTAACCCGAGGATTCGTGGGAATGAATCTCGTACCTTGAATGGGATCACTCCCTCCTTTCACCCACGCATTCACTAATCGAATGTGAGGCTTGTTAGGTACACATTACGTATTTCAGGGTGGGAAAGACCATGGGGGACCTACTGATGGAACAGGCCATCTGCTTAAGATCACCCAAGGCTTCCCTGACCCACTAAAATACCTCATGCTCCACACAATTGCATTCCCCTCACCATCCAACCCACTGCACCGGGTCACTTACCTTGTGAAGATCTAGTAAGAAATTTCCTCTTTAGCCTCTCAGCCACGTGCTCTCCTCTCCAGTTCCGTTCAGGCCTCCACAGGTCTCACCTCACTGGCCTATGGAGGGCCAAATGGAGTCTTGGAGGGCTGGAACCACCCCTCAGAAACTCAATTTTGGCCAGCAACATGCAGGACGAATGTTGCAGAACCTCTGCAGTTGTTTGTAAGGGTGAATAACTGCCGTGGTGCTACAAGATTTGTTTCGGGCCTTGTTTGCAAATGCTAGGGAGCACTTATGTAACTTCGAACATTCGCTAATGGAACACTCGTAACCAGGGGATTACCTGTATTTGGTTATTTTTAATACCTTGTGAAATTTGTTTTTATTCAGTTGCACAACACCCAGAGTCAGAAGATCAAGATGTTGAGCAAGGTTAGCAAGTTAGAAAGTAAATAAATGAATAGGCAAACTCAATCAGTTGGTTTCTCACTCTGAACTCAGCAGCTCAAAAATAATGTTAGCTTTCTGTTCCTTATTTATATAACATTTCTATTTAAAATATTTTATTTATTACCTGTTTTTGGGCTTCTACTTTTTGCTTCCTTGTTGGATCAATTGCATCTACCATCCATTTAATTGTAAAATAGGTCACAGCGCCAAATATTGTTAAGCGGAAAATTAAACCAACAACTTCATTCCGAGTTAGAGGACGAGAAAACGTTTCAGCGTGTACCATTGTGGATGTTATCCTATACCAAATAATGGAGGAAAGAAAGTCAATGTGCATTCTTATAAAATTAGGAAGCTTTGAAGTATTAATTTTTGGTACATGGTATACATTACTATACTTGATACATTACTAACCTGCTGTTAATTCATGCACAAGATGGTTGAGATTTTTTTCATATGAGGAGTTTCACATATAAGAGATTTTGTACACAAGATGGGTGTGATTGTTCCTTGTAGATAAAGAAAGGGATAATTAGTTATCACTCAATGTTTGTCAATGATCACATCAAAAAGGGAAAGCGTTTTTAAAAAATGGAACATATTAATTGGAAAACAATAATATTCAGAGAAAGTGTCATACATGTTTTATTTGTTATTAGCAACTCATTGACTACTATAATTTATAGTAGTCAAAATCAGTAAGACTCAGCTTTACAAATTGACTTAAAATACTGGATTTAAACATATTATGAATGTGCAGAATGTTCCATATACAGTACAGCTGGTTTTCAATGGTTTCTGCCCAAGCCAAAATATGGTTTTTCAGATGTTTTATCTATATGCGTAATGCAATAAGGCTGATTCTAGTACGGACTGAAATGTAGTTTGGGGATGGGGGAAGAGACACTGAAAGAAAACTAGACTGAAAGGGTTTCCTGGGTGATGGCATATGTGGACAAGCTGTGAGGAAGGAAGAAGGAAACAAAGAAAAAAAAACACTGGGAAAATATGGTGCACTAAGTGAAAGAAAAAGAAGATTGTTGGGAGATTGGCCAATACAGCAGCTAGTGGGACTGGCCACTCTGGAATTCTATTCCTTATTGCGGATACAGTTGCATTAAGGAATAGGCACACAGGCCAATTTACTAGTCCTGGCAGCTGAGGAGAAGCAAGAAAGAGAATTTTTTTGCGGGGGGCGGGCAGGGGGAAGCAAGGAAGATGCTATTAGATTGCTATTAGCTGATTTGACAAGTTGGCCCAGAGAAAAAGATTGATAGATACTTGGCTTCATTATTATGCATGAGAAAAAACATGTTTGGGGGGGATCTAAAGCAAGACATGGGAAGTTTTACAAGGTTTCTGGAGCAGGTTAATGATTGGAACAAGTTCTTTTTTTAGTCTGTGTCTTCTTTTAGTCTTGACTTTTATTGCATTTTATGCTTACTATTGCGAACCACCTAGTATTTCTTTAACATGATACACAAATACGACCTACGCCAAAAGTAAGTCCTAGCTTGATTTTTACATGTGCGCCCAATATTAGCCCTACCTCCAAAATAAGCCCTGATTAAGACCCCACCCACTCCAGGGTACACGGGTAAAAATTAAGCTACGGTGGGGATGGGAGGGTGAAGCTGCCCTACTACTTACCTTCAGACAGTTGCAGCCAGGCTTCGCACACCCTGACACCTGTCTGCAGGCCCATTTCTTCTGCAGCTGGCAAGGATGGCAAGGCTTTCCTAAGGGCCTCTGCAGCTCTGCTGCAGAAGCCTTCAGGAAAACCTTGCAGGCTGCCACAGAAGTAGTTCCTGAAGGCCTCTGACATCAAAAAGGCAGCCGGGGGCAACATGCGCAGGTGAGGGGAGTCAGTGAACAGTATCCCCCTTGTAAATAAGACCTGGTGCCTTTTTTGTGGCAAAAAAATTATAACACAGGGTCTTATTTTTGGGGAAAACACGGTACTAAAATTAAGTAAATTAAAACTAAGCTTGGGGCATACCAATAGTAGACTAGCACAGATGGGTATCTGGCTGTGTATGATGCACACTAGCCTCACTCTTTGCACCATAAAATCGCTCCAGCAGCAGCGTGGAACAAGTTTCAACCAAACCCAAAACAAGTAAAACGTTTTAGCTTTATTTCTGCGAAACTACAGCCAGGGCAAAATAAACCGGGCAGAAAAGTCCAGTGTGTTGCGTTTTCAATTAGAAGCATAACTTTTCTTTCCACCTGCACCCTAAAATGTGCCCTTTCTTATAATGTTAGTTTCCTGGCTTCTTTTTTTTTCCCCCTCAAAAGAGTTTCAAAACTACATTTAAGGAAGCAGCTTATCAAATATGACCAGCGGACTATAAAGAAGGGCCTCCGTTAGTATTGCAGTATTGTGTTGGGGGGGGGAGAGCGTAACAGTAACAGTTGGAAGGGACCTTGGAGGTCATCTAGTCCAACCCCGGGTGCACGAGGGGAGGCTCAACCCCAATCTCATAGTACACGTGTTGTACTCCGATAATAAAGGTTTAAATTTGAATCTGAATATAACTGGGACTCCGCACAACCCTATTTAATAACACAAGACCACGCCGGGCACGTGGAGAGGCGGCGGGGGGAAAGAAGAGAGTCGTTATTTCACACACACAAAAGCCCGAGAGGGGAAATGGAGCAGTCACCTTCTTTCTCCCAAAGCTTTCAGGGGAGCTTCCCGTCGGGCACGGAGAAGGAAAGCCCGGGCACCCTCTTCCCAAACTCGCCGGCCGAAACGCTCCCACCGGTTTCTGAGCGAAAGCCCCGCCGCCGAAATTGAAAGCGAAAGGGAGCCTTCGAGGTGACCTTCCGCGGGAATCCTTCGGACGCCGCTGCCTCCTCCGCACCGGGGCGACGGAAAGGACCGAGGCGCGTAAAAGGCGTGCGCCGGAGGGGGGAGGGGAAAAAAAAAAAAAGCAGCGCGCGAAATTCCTCGAGAAGTGTGGAGGAAACGGCCGTTCCCGGCAGGCGTCGCTCGGGTGTTTTGGGCCGACGCTCAATACCTTCCCTCTCGGACGCCGCGCCTCTCTTTTAACGTTCCGCTTTTAAAGTGGAAGAAGGGGGGGAAAGTTTTCCCTGTAACGCACGGAGGAGGAATCTCGCATGGAGAGCTGAGCTCGCATTCTTCGTCTTGCGGGAAGGCGAGGAAGACGGTCTTGGCGGGCCTCAAAAAGTTTTACCTCTGAGGATTAGAGAGGGAGCTAAGGACGGCTCCGATTTAGCTTGCACACAATAGGGCTAGATGGGGGATTTCCCCAATCTGCTTCTAGCTAACCATGAACTATCCTGCCTTCCTTTTGGACCAGCTCTAGGAAACCTGAAATTCAGTACAGATAGCCCTCAATTTAAGAACACCATCGAGCTTTTTTCTGTATTTTGTGTTACTCTTGTTCTGTTTCATGGAATCTATGGATGTGGGTGGGTAACAAAAACCGTGAATAAGTAACAATCTTTCTTGTTGGGTTCAGTCTAAAATCCAAATGCTAGGAGACGAAGGAGATATGGATAGCTCAGCAGACTAATGCATTGTAATTAACATCCAGCTGTCTGCAATTACTGTAAGTTCGAATCTCACCAGGCTCAGGGTTGACTCAGCCTTCCATCCTTTCTAAGGGAGGTAAATTGAGGACCCAGTTTGTGGGGGCAATAAGCTGACTTTGTATGAATATACAAAAGTATGAAGGCATTGTAAGCCACCCTGAGTCTCCGGAGAAGGGCGGCATATAAATCAATTTTTTTTTAAAAAAAAAGAAAAAAGATATGAATTATGCCTCTGCACCCAGAATGATAGACTTGAAAACATGTTATCTTTGGCAATGTTAATGGAAGTAGAGGAAGAGAGAGGCCACAGATATAGTAGAGGGACTAAATAATATGATAATAATGGCCTTAGCATTGATTACTACATATACAGGGAAATAGTGAACATTGGATTATGCTGCCACCAAGATTTGAATTTAATTTAAGTAATTTAATTTAAAATTTAATGATGCCTAATTCTTTATTTAGAATTCCATACGTCTAATCTTAATCAGGAATTTAGGTTGTCTTTTTATGCCTATCTTTGTTGTCATTAGTTGCAGAAATAATTTCCTTTCAGATTGTCAATAAATTGGATGTGGATACATTTACATGTCTCATTTGTGCACATTTTCCAAAATGTGAAAAATGTATTGGTGCTCATACTGGTATATAATAGACTTAATATATTTCTTACCTTATTGAAACTATCTATACTTTTACATGGCATAATACTTCTAACAGAGTCTAATGCTGAAAACTAGTGAATCCCTCCTTATAATTTTATTCTTCATTTTTTAACCCTCATTCCATTCCATTTTTAATGTGGAAATTGAACTTCTTATATACAGTCGTTGTGTATTACAATTAAATTTAGGGTATAAATTACATAATGTGACATTTAAAAACATCTGTGAAACCATACAGGACAAGGGTTGTATGATTTGTACATAGCTAATACAATGTCTTTGTGATGACAGCATACATAATGTATGGTGGACATAGGAGCAGCATATAGCCATCAGCATATATACTTATGCTTATACTTGCACATATAGCTTCTTTAAAGCTTGAATAGCCGAATACTGTGCCAAAGAAATAGGAAGTTTGCTAGAATGCATTTATTTATTAAATTTAGATGCCTACACCTATTGTAAAATGCTCATTAAATAGCAGTGAAGATACTGTCTATTGGCTGGAGCACTGTGCCTAGTCCAGGGGTGTCAAACGGGCGGCCTGTGGGCCGGATGTGTCACGCTCAGGCCATGCCCACCCCAGCTCCATGAACGGGAAAAATGTCGTAAAACATCATGTGATGGCAACGTGGTGCAGCAAGTTTGACACCCATGGCCTAGACAAAGGCACACATAATTTTCAACTGTTAACAGCAGGACCACAAGGTAAGAATTTACAGGATACTTCATTAGCAATTTTGATTTTTTTTTTTAACTGAAAAGGTACAAAAGAAAAACACTATTGTTGATTTATATAAATGTTCTAACAAAAGCAACTAACCTTCTGCATTTATCTTACATATTTCACATTATTATCTCATTGACCTGAGCTGTCATTGTACGTTTAAAAGACTTCAAAAGTCTGATAATAGATGCTTATACTGGAGTAGCGCTTACAGTTTTTGCTAATTTCATTACATAGTAAATTTTATTACAACTTTTAATTTAAAGACATTGGAAAGTGATTATTCAATGTGACCTCTGCAGATGTCCATCTGAAATGCTTTGGGGTGAAGTAACGACCACAATTTTGGGATTTATTGGTCATGAAGCAATGTTGTGTGGTTTGAAATGTTAATTCTCTAGTCCCATAAAGCAGATTGATAGATGAGGCATAAAATGGTTCCAGATGCTATATTTCCTAACTGTTCAGCTGTGCTTGCTTTCTCTTATCGCTGTCACCTGAAGCTGTAATATTGTAAGTAGGCCACCTGCATTTTGATTTCCCTGCTTTTAGCAGAATGTCCTTGAAAGCATTTGGAAAGCAGCATGTTGCTGATTCACATTATTGTTAAAAAGTTGAAAAATATGTCAAATGAAGGAGATAATCTTTACAAAGATGGCTGGAAATACTTACAGACTCGGTACAGAAGAGAATTCCGTGTTTGAGATGCTACATTATTTCTAAGCTATAAGTACTTGAGATTTTGTGAACAAAGTAACAGTGGTACTATCCATGAAGATGTATCAGACAAAGCAGGTCTGTGTGATTTATCTTGTCACATTCTGAAAAATAATAGGGGAAAGAAGAGAAAACAGTTACCAAATCAAACAGGCCTACAGCAGGACTGTATTTCGTCTAATTTGAGAGGCACACTGCACTATAAAACTTATATATAAAACCTAAACATTCCACTTCAACAGGATTTTAAATTTACATGGGATATTGCAAATATAGATTAAATTTTGTTCTTCACCCCAAGAACTTACTGTATAAATAGTAAAAAGTTGCAAAAGTTAACCTAAGTAAAGAATCCTGGGCTGATAGCTTTTAGACCAGACCTGGACATGTTATGGGTCTCAGGCCACATCTGGCCCTTTGATTGTCCCTGTCTGGCCTATGTGAGGTCAGTTGGAAATTACAACTGTAAATGTAAATAAGTATACTGTATGCCATGCATGCAGTACAACCGCTTTGCTTTTATTTTGAAGGAGACTGATGTATTTTTCCCCCAGTTTATTTATGTGCATACAAATTTGTGCCTACGCGCCCTCCACAGCCCTATTGATAAGTCCCAGTTTCTCATGTGGCCCCTTGGGAAAATTAATTGCCCCTAGCACTGTTAGTCATAATAGTTATGCTACATCTGGTATATTTGCTTCATTGTTTCCAGATAACATTCAGTATAGGTTGAGCTTCTGGATACTTTTTCATTTAAATTGAAATAAGAGGATTTAGAACAGGGCTGTCAAACTAGCGGCCCGCAGGCCAGATGCGTCACACACTGGACCATGCCCACGCCAGGTTTAGCAAAGGGGGAAAAAAGACGTCATGGCAACATGAGTTTGACACCCCTGATTTAGAATGCTAACGATGTAGTTGGTTTTTGATGAAAGAATTGAGGAATGTTTCCAATAGCAAATGAAAAACTACATGGCTTGTCATAAGACTGGAATATATTACTTTCTTGCTAATCATTTTTTAAAGACTGTCGATTCCCTTTGTGTGTGCTGATGGACATTCACAGAAGATTGATCTGAAATGTAAAATAACTGGGAGATTTGTTCACTTCATATGTGATTTTGATAGGAAATGAAAAAAGTTGCCCTGCTGTACAAGCATCAGAAAGCATAAGGACCAATCACTGGAGAGACACCAAGTACTTTGAAATTTGGCGTAGGAACTGAAAATACAACCTTCCTATGACTGAAATCAATAACATTTAATGTGTAGATAATGTATCCACTTGTCTTCTCTGGTTTCTCTTATATCAACATGGAGTATTGCTGAAAAGAATGTTTTGCTGTGTTAAACCATTTTTCCTATTTAGTAAATGTTTATGGACATAAATATATGAGCAGAGCTTGTTAGCCTGCACCTTTATCTATTCCTTCTAGTTTAAAGTGTTTGCAAAAACGAACAGTGTGCATGTATATAAAGGTAAACCCTTCTTAGATAACAAAATGTAGCACTTTTCTCCCTTTTTCAATACCTCTCACTCTTGCTCAATTCACAGTATGCAGTTCATGTGTCTCTAGAGTCTCCTTGACAAGAAATAACCTTGAAAATGCAAAAGCATTTTAAATTAAAAGCAGGTACAAATGAGCTCAATAAACCAACAATTGTACAATTCTCACGAGAAATTTTTGAAGATAAAGAGAATGTTGGAAAACAATGGAACCGAAACCATACCAATCCATCCCTAGAGACAACTAAATTGCCTTATAAAAACCACAAGTACGTGGGCATAAAATGGTTTCTAAAAAGCAAGGAGAATAAGCCTTCGCCATCAATATAGGTGATATGGCAATTTCATGTAATGTGCTCAGGGATATAGCAATAGGGACTGAATTTCTTTTTCCTTTTGCATGATGTACATTTATTTGTAAGATTTATATTTTCCTTTTCCTTCAAGGGCTCAAGGCAGCAGACATAGCATTGTCTCTAATTTTTCTTCATATCCTCCTTCCTGTGAAGTAGGTTTTGCTGATAGCAAATGGGCCAAAGATACCCACTGGACTTCAATGGACTTGAAGGATGGATTTGAATTTGAATCTCCAAGGGCAGATCCAATACCAGAGCCACTACCCCACATGGTCTCTCTTTTGATACATACATACATACATACATACATACATACATACATTTAATGCAACTTGCTGGAACTTAAGATCATGGACTTCTTCTAAAAATAGCTCCGGATTTTTATTTGCAAGCCCTTGAAGTCAGCCGAAGAGACAAATCTAATATTGTTGCAGAAGCAATTTATGCCTGTGGTATTTGTG